TATAGGTTTCTCAGGAGATGGATAAGGTGGTCAGGCACGCCCATTTCTTTTAGGACTTGCCATAGTTTGCAGTGGTCCACACAGTCAAAGGCTTTTGCATAGTAGTCACTAGCATTGTGCAAAAGAAATACATTGATCTGTCCTGAACGGAGGCTGTCTTTTCTTCAAAAACGGCAACAGCAAAACCAAAAACCCACAGCATACAAAGTGCAAACAAAATTTGGATGAGCCAGTTATAATATTATACAAATACAAATAACGATTAAGTATTTGTTTATTGGGCGTGCCTTTATGGCACCTCCCCTTCAGACAAAAAGGTTCCCAGAGCACCTTACCAAAAAATGTAAAAAGTGACTCATGACAGGCCTTGCCCTCAGGCTTACAATATAAAATTTATTACACAGCACACAAAGAATAAAGAATGCAGAGGGAGGAGAGAAAGAAAAAAGTGGTTGAGAACGACATCAGTGGTCCAATCCTGCTTCAGTACTGGTGGATGTATGAAGAAGGTGTGCCTGGATGGAATAGTGATAGCTGGGGGTGAGAGACTACTTTGACAAATAATGTGGGAAATGTTCTGGGATTGAGACAGGCAGATTTACATTATTTCCCACTGATTACACAACATGCAAGCCAATGCAAATGAGCCCAGAGTTTCCCCTCCACCAATCTGTTCTTATTTCTCGAAGGCTTTCACAGCCAGGATCCGATGGTTGCTGTAGGTTTTTCGGGCTGTTTGGCTGTGGTTCGGAGGTTTTTCTAATATTTCACCAGTCTCTGTGACCGGCATCTTCAGAGGACAAGGGTTAGAACTGGTGTAGTGTATGGGATAGTTGAGTATTTGTAGCTGTGGGATCAGCTTTATGTCCTTTTCAGGAGATTGGGTAATTTTCCCCCTTCACCACTGCAGGAGTATACCAGATACCTTGCAGTTGTGGCCAGGTATATATTGGGACCACAAAACGCAGCATCCACACCAGAATCAAAGAACATGAAAGACACTGCAGACTAAAACAACTGGAAAAGTCAGGAATAGCTGAACATTCCCTGAAAAATGCTGGACATGAAGTCCTATTTCAAAACACAGAAGTACTGGACAACACCATCAATCATTATTTTAGACTCCACAGGGAAGCCATTGAAATCCACAACATCAGCACAGCTTCAGCAAAAAAGAAGAAAGTCTAAAACTTTAAAAAGCCTGGCTCCCAGCACTGAAAAATATAGTCTGCAAAAAGGTCAACAAACTCTACCCAGCCACAAGGACCGGGGATCACTGCACACAAAAGACTAGCTAATGACACCCATCAATCACAGTGACAGATCATCTCTGTCCCCTTATCACAACAATGCACCCATAACAAAAAAAAAGAACCCTGATCACCATAATCACCCAATCTCCTGAAAAGGACAAAAGTTGATCCCACAGCTGTAAATACTCAACTATCCCACAAAACTGCACCAGAGCACAGAGTTCTGACATCTATCCTCTGAAGATACCAGCCACAGAGACTGGCGCAACGTTAGGAAGAAAAATCTCAGGAACACGGCCAGACAGCCCCAAAAACCTACAACCATATTTATTTATTGTTGCTGTTCTGTGCCATCAAGTTGGAACTGACATATAGCAACCCCATATAGCAACCCTAATAGGACTTTTAAGATAGGAAGTACCTTGTTTCCCCTAAAATAAGACCTAACCTGAAAATAAGCCCTAGTAGGATTTTTCAGGATGCTCTAATATAAGCCGTATCCCAAAAATAAGCCCCAGTTAAGTGAAATCCTGCCCTCCATTGTTCAGCAATCAGAAGATGACATGACTGTACAGTATTTGAATAAATGTAGATTGTTGTACATGAAAAAAAAATTGAACTTCCCCTGAAAATAAGCCCTAAGGTGTTTTTTTTGGAGCAAAAATTAATATAAGACCCTATCTTATTTTGGGGGAAACAGGGTAGTTTTACTAGTTCCAAACCCTCAGTTTCCATGGCTGAGTGGGGATTCGACTCCAGGCCTCCTGAGTCCTAGTCCTCCACTCTATCCACTGGTATCACACAGGGGAACTGGCTGGATTGCTCAATGAGTTAAGTGGTTGGGAAGCTAAGAGCTAGGAATTCCCCCACACACACCATCTCAAGCTTATTTAAGTGTGAAATAGGGTAGAGGGGAGAAAAAGTCCCAGAATCTATTTTTAAAAGGTGGGGTTTTTTTTGTCATAGATGTAAAAAATGGCCTGTAAGTGCGTGGGAAATGCTAAAGCAGTGGATCCCAACCTTGGGCCTCCAGATGTTCTTGGACTTCAACTCCTAGAAATCTTGGCCAGCAGAGGTGGTGGTGAAAACTTCTGGTTGTTGTAGTCCAAGAACATCTGGAGGCCCAAGGTTGGGGACTGCTGTGCTAAAGGAAGCCACAGGACTCAGATTACAAGAGCTGAGCAGGGCAGTTGAGGAGAAGATTTCTGGGAGTAATATTGTGCTATATATTTTTTTAAAAAAAAAGAGAGAAATTCCCCTCTCCCCGCCGAGGTGCTGGTCAAAGTGAACGTAAAAAGACCGGAAGAACCACACCGCTCTCTTCGTCGAGAGGCGACGTTCTGCGTTAGCGGGCAGGCTTTCGCCGGCGTTGTTCGCTCCCGCCATTGCCTCTTCCCCGGCAGCAGAGGGCGGGAGAGACTCCAGGCAGGGGCAGAGACGGAAGGGCCTTGCTTTCGGCTCAAGGGGGCCGCCTCTTCCTGGGCCGCAAGCCGCAGCGGCGCGGCCAGTTAGTTGCTCGTCTCCGGCATTCGGTGGTTCAACCATGGAAGAAGAAGGCGCCCGGTGGTGCTACCGGGGGGATCCCCAGGAGGGGCAGAGCGCTCCTCTCGGTAAGATCCGGGGACGGGTGGGCAGAACTGTATCCACCCATCGTTTTTTGGGTCGCTTTCCTGCTTCCAGCCTTTCTCCCGCGTGGGATATGTTTTGCTCCTTGGCCGCGAGAGAGATCCAGCACGTGGCTAGCGTTAGCAAAACAGATCGAGGGTGGAAGGGGAGCTTTTGTGGATCTCTCCAGGCGCTGGTCATAGGGGGGGAAAGGATCGTTTGCTCGCAAGCGGATGACAGCCGATGCTCCTGCTTAGAGGCGACTAAACCGTACACGCATTAAAATATTATTTGAGACGGCGGTGGAGGGTCGGGCTCTGCGTAAAACCGAAAGACGGGATGTTCTTTGGTGTTGCTGGAAACGTTTCTTGGTCGGGCTTTAATCCAGCTCCGGATCGGTGCCCGTTCCAGGCTGTTGCTTTTTAATGGCTTTCATTCAGCGTGGGAGACTCGTCGTCGGAAACTCTTTGACCCGCTTCCCAATTTATTGCTTATGGCCTTTTTCTTCATCTTCTTCCCTCTCACAGTTCAGTTTACAAATGGTAAACTGAAGCGTGCTGAAAATATGAGCTTCACCTTATACAGAAATAAAGACACCAGTAACCCAAGGAAGAAGCAAAAAGTAATTTTGGTAAGTGTTTTCTCCCCCCCCCCATAAGATAAGCTTCTTAATGATCATGTGAAAACACCCAGTTTCCTACCTATGCTCTGTTTTTCCTTTACGAAGCTTAGAGAAGCCTGCATAGGGCTCTGATGGTTTTATCAGCAAACTTTGAAGCTTATTTGATAGTGCAACTCTTTGGGTATCTACTCAGAAATAATCCACTGATAGTCAAAGGGTTGTTGTGTTTTTACCACCTGGTAAAACACACAGAATAGTGCACTGCAGTAATGGGGTGATATACAAGTTTAAGAATAAATAAATTCATTCTAATCTGTTTTGATGTTTATTGATTAACTGTTAAATTTGCTTTAGTGATTATTTTAGTTATGTTTAAATTGATTCGTTTGTTCTTTGTTAGCCACTTGGAGTGCTGTTTTTAGCGGAAAGGTGGAATAGAAATATAATAAATATGGTTTTAATTTTTAATAGGTCTGTTGTAAGCAGACATTTTTACTGATGTGACCTTACCTGTTAAACAGTTGAGTTCCGGAGAGCTCCTTCCAGTGGTTTTCCTGCCACTCCTTAAGGCATAGAATTGCTGTACAGCATGGGATCTGCAACTGGTTTCTCACATTCCTTTAAAAAGAACAGCAAAAAAAGGATTGTACTTGTGAAAGCTGAGTCCAGGTCTCAAGGAGGGAATTGTCCTGTACATCAGTTGTCACTGTATTTGTTTAGCTCTGGTTTCAACTGACATCTTTAGGCAGCTGCATGAGTAGCAAGCCTGGAGAATGTTAAACTGAATGTGGTATAAAAAAAGGGAAGACTGGAATGCTATGATAAGAGTCCTGTTTTAAGTCCCAACTGGAGTAGACTGCATGGAGTCTGATGGGTGCTGAATGGTAAGTCAACATTTATGCAAATCCACTCAGCCATTGCACCTGCTCTAGTTGGGATTAGCAGTTGGATACTCGCCTTGTTAGCATTGTGGTTATGCTAGTGTAGTTATATAGAAATGATAGTAACTGTGGTGCATTAGTGTTGTTGTTGTTGTTTAGTTGTGTCCGACTCCTTGTGACCCCATGGACCAGAGCACGCCAGGCCCTCCTGTCTTCCACTGCCTCCCAGAGTTGGGTCAAATTCATGTTGGTAGCTTCAATGACTCTGTCCAACCATCTTGTCCTCTGTCGTCCCCTTCTCCTCTTGCCTTCACACTTTCCTAACATCAGGGGCTTTTCCAGGAAGTCTTCTCTTCCCATTGAGATGACCAAAGTATTGAAGCCTCAGCTTCAGGATATGTCCTTCCAGTGAACACTCAGAGTTGATTTCTAAGTACTGTATAGTATAATAACTACTTAATGTGTGCCAACAGTATTAATGGCATAACAAAGACAAGTTCAGTGCTGCATTTTCTCCCACTATGTGTAGTACAGTGGGGTCTTGACTTGAGAACTTAATCCGTATTGGAAGGCGGTTCTCAAGTCAAAAAGTTCTCAGGTCAAATCTGCATTTCCCATAGGAATGCATTGAAAACCATTTGATCCGTATCTGCTCTTTTCCGTCCATAGAAACTAATGGGAAGCTGCTATTCTGCCTTTGACCACTAGAGGGGGATATTTTGTTTCTTTTTTTCTTAGGTCAAGAAAGGTTCAGGGAAGGCAGGGAAAAGACAGTCCAGGCAGTACAAGTACCAGGCAGTCTGAAGACTGTCTCCCAATCCACTCTCTAAACGCTGGGAGGAGTGAGGAAGCAGACAGGCACCCTTTTCACTGGCCAACAGTTAACTGAAAGTTCACTTTTTGCACTTTCCCTGCCTCCCACGTGGGTTTTTTCCAGTTCTTAACTCAAATCTAAGTACTTAAGTCAAGTCAGTATTTTCCTATGAGAGCGGTTCTTAAGTCAAAATGTTCTTAACTCAAGCCGTTCTTAAGTCAAGACCCCACTGTAATAGTTGGACAAGCTGCAGTTTCCAGATTTTTATCCGGTAACCTTTTACAGTATTACAAACTTGGCAAGAGTTCATTTTAATGCAGTATTTTACCATTCATTAAGCTGACTGGGTAACTCAGTGGTTTAAGTATCTGGATGCGGAACCAGAGGTTGGGAAATTGAGTCCCCACCGTGCCTCCTGCAAGTAGAGCGAGCCTGGGCAGCCTTGGGTAAGCTGCACAGTCCCAGAGTACCCCCGGAAGGAGGAAATAATAAACCACTTCTGAGTATTCGCTAACTAGAAAACTCTGAAAAGAGTCACCATCAGTCGGAATTGACTTAAAGGGCCATGCTTATTATTATTTTACTATTCATTCAGTTGTACCCCGTGTTCTGCTCAATAAGTCCACAGCACAACCTGCATTCATAAAAGTACTTTGGTGATTATTATGGAAACACCCACAGGCAGAGACCACATGTGGATCTTATGTTTTAGAAACCACAAGATGTCACCATAATCTTACCAAGTCTCATTGAAAGTTGGAATCGATGGGTATTCAAAGCAATTTGACTATGAGTGAATGAATCAAAACAGTTTTTGTAGTTTCCTTATCTGCCACCCACCCACACACAACGTGCAGTGAATTTAAAGCTCAGTTTCTTCTAACAATTAAACCAGTTTCTAACAATCAAACCTGACAAAAGTGGCAGTGGAACAGATAGATATTTGGCTTTCATCTTTGAAGAGTGAAACAAAATCATGTGCCCTAACTTTTCCCGATTAGTGTTTTTATTACACCATGGCTGCAACTATGCACCCCTTAAAAATGAGCAGGGCCCGTGTTGGAGTAGATCTGTGTAGGATGATGCTGTTAAGACATGGCAAGCAGGGTGCATTTGTTTTCTGCAGTATGCGGCTGCGAAAGTGTTGCTGACCTGCTATGCGAATATCAGCTATGCCACATTTTAGCTTGTTGTTTAAATTTTGAAAAACTCTTTATATTTCAGTTTTAGACCTGAATTTTGAGAAGTTAAGTTTTGGGGATTACTACTCCTGGCATCCCCCAGCAGTGTTGGTTGGTGGATGCTAGCAGCTCATTTTCAAGAACCTAAACTTGGCATCTTGTGTGCAGAATTTTGCTCAAGGAACGGACTGGCGCCTGCAGGTTTTCAAGATGGAAGGGGTACTCGTGGTACCACCGTTCTAAGATGTATTGGCAAATTCTGCAGTGTGTCTAAGCCGTTTCATGCCAGCTGGGCCTGTTAAGCCTTCAAGTGAACTTGAGGTGTGGAGAAATAGTAATACTGTAGTGGGAAATTGTTTTATCTGCTTATTGGGCAGCCACAAATGCCTCCACAAATGCTCACCGCAAATGGTGAGTTGCTTGCCAAATGTGGGAAAACTCCAAAAATCTGAGAGGTATTGACTCTAATATAGAAAGCTAGTATTAACCAGCAAAATGGCATCCTTCAGTCATTTTTTCATTTCTTTTTCTTTAGAATGCGGAAACAGATAGACTCTCTTACGTAGGAAATAATTTTGGTCCTGGAGCCCTGAAGTGCAATACTCTCTGCAGGTATAATGTGTGTGTGTCTCTCTCTCTAAAATGCATGGATATCTGTAGCAATGTATTCTCTTTCATTAGGCTGCCAGCATGCAGCTAATTGTAAATTTTACTGAAATTACAAGCATGAGTTGGTTCAGGTTTGCAATCTGTCTTCTTAACGGTTCCATATGTTTGTGAACTGGATGGAGGAGACAAATGCCTGCCTAGAAGATATGGGCTATGAAACCAGATAATTATCTATGTCTAAAAGTGCAATCTCACAGTGAACCATAGATCAGTGTAATATTCTTTTTTTGTTGCTGTTCTTGTTTTGTGTTGTGCAAACTGTTGGTTTAGGTTTTTAATTTTATTGGTGTACTGCCTTTCTAAGGTGTTTGTATTTTAAAAATATTCCTTTATAATGTTGTGGATGCAATGTAAAGAGAGCAGAGGATGGGAGATGGGGGCATCAACACAATTCACCTACTGTAGGCTGTCACAGAAGATGGTCTAGAAAGAGAGAAGCCAAAGAAAACACATAGCAGGTCTTACTTTTGGCCTCTCTCTCTTACTCCAACAGGAGGTGTGGCTATAAAAGATACCAAAGCCAGGAAAAATGAAAAAACTAAAGAAAGAAGCTCAAAGTATACAATCACAGCTACTTATCATTGAAGTGAAAGTCATACAGAGGACTAAGAACTAAACTGTGCATATTTTGTATGTTTTTTTTGTAAGAGTATTTTATGAACTGAAATATTTAAGCAAAACACTGATCTATACCTTCTTCAGCTGCTCTGGTAAAAACATTCTATACTGCACACATTCACACACACAAAGAAACTGGGTCAAAGTCTGTCTACTAAAATGCAAATCTTGCACCAAAATATACAGACAGCCAACAGGCATTTAAAATAAGCAGTCCCAAGTGCAGTGTTGTAGTTTTTGATGAGAACTCTGGAATATTATCGTATTAACTCTTCTTCAGAATAGAGCATTCAGATGAACTTGGGTGGCAGCCAGAAACCAATGTTCAAACTAATGTGAAGATAGCTGAAGCCTGAAAGAGAGGTCTTTCAAACAGTAAAATTCCTACGGTTGCAAACCAACAAAAAGTTCGTCAGAAGAAGAAAAAATGGGGTAATTTTTTCAAAAATATTCCAGATATACCTACGAGCCCCTAACTGGTGGAGGTACCCAGTAGTTGCCCATATACCGAGAAAGAAACAGGGTATTTCTTATGCACATTTTATGTGTAAATCAACCTGACAACTTTAGAGGAGAAGACTCTAAAAATGTTGTACAGAGAAATCAAAATCCCCAGCATTTGCTCACTTTGCAAAGGGGAGAGCAAAGTACTTTTTGTACTTTTGATACAGGGAAAAAATGAGAAGAAACTCAAAAGTGTAAAAATATGACAATGTGTATATTCCAAGAGATGTGTATCTTGGTATTAAAGGCCTCGATAATCGAGTGGGATGGCCTGTGATCTCAAGAAACAAAAGCTTACAAGACAGACAAATTCTGATTACGATTCAGGCTCAAAATGAACATACATTTTAGTTTATTGATCCAGCACACGTCTGTCTACTCTTAACAAAGGTATTTATTAGGGATGAAATGCATGTGCTGCAGTGCAAAAAAAAAATCTAGGAGAGTCAAGAGAGTGGTGATTTTGCAGGAAATGCGCCGTTTCTCCATCTAGAGACCTAAATGTCCAACATATTCTTAAGGAGATCTTGATATAGTATGTGGTCTAAATTGCAATTGATGAGATATGGTAGGGAGTATTTGTTATGATCTGCAGAGAAAATTCTTTTATCTGAACTTTAGGAAAAGCAAGGGCAGTGATTATGAAGGAACAAAAAGAAAGAATCAAAATGTTGTGTTGGGTTGCCTTTTGTTCCAGAACCTTATGGCAACTCCCAGTTGAGTTTATTATTTGAGTCAAAATCTTTTATAAAGTATCATAATTTTGTTGAACCAACAACATTACTAAAAACAAACAACCCTCCCACCACAAAATAGGCATATGCCTGCCTATTATTAAGCTAGAACACTCCCCCCAGTGAAGTAGGAGTCTCTGTATCCATTTGATCAGGATCCGTGGTTTCAAAATATAAAAAATATTAAAATAAAAACCCCCAGAGATATATATTTCCATAATGTAATCATGAGAATTGACCACTAGAGAGATCCAGAGACCATGCTATGTATATAGTTTGCTATTACATATATGGGAACCTATCTCCTGCAGATACAAGGGTCTTATTGTATAGCCAATGCTTCCAAAAGCTAGAGAAATGTATTTTCAGCATAAACTATCTTTTCCGTTAGATACTATGTTGGTGTGTTAGACAAGAACTCGGGACAAATGGAAGTCTACAATGCAGAGTTGTTCAATATGCAACCATTGGTTTCAGGTAGGTGAAAGATGCTGCTTCATATTTATTGGGGCAAGATTTCTGGACTACAGCTTGTTGGCCTACTCACAGCTTTTTAAAAGTTCCTCTTTTAAAAAAAAACAAAAAAAAACTCTTGTGCTTATACAGATTTACAAAGCTTGTCCAAGTTCTGTCTCTCATGACTGTAATATACTTAGAGCCAGACAATGAAAACATTTACTCTTGAATGTCCTTTCTACATGATCAGCACATTTGTATGATATGTGTCTTCTTGGAGTTTTTGCTTTCAGACTTATAGGGAGTTGAATTGCTTGCTTGACGCTCCATATTTCTAAAACCTCGCAGGAAATATAAGTCTAGCATGTCAGGTAGAAGGTAATTCACAGTCTTTCTTCCTCGTACGTTAGCTTTCCAATGCGTTGGATTTTCATTATGAAGGAAGATGCAGGCATGTAAACTACCTGACAGCCTGAAGTGATGCAGTCCAAAAGGAATTTGTTGCATACTGATGATACAATTCTGCACTAAGGGAAGGAATATCCAGTTACTGGGAAGACATTGTTGGGGTTTATTGGCAGAGTTTGATGTAAAGAAAATTGAGTATGGCCTTAGTTAAAATAATAGCGGACAAAATGGATCAGTCAGGAACCTACAGAGCAGGTTGAACTTCAGCCACCCCTATTTGGCATTTATTTGTTTCAATACATTCACCCAGAGACTCTGGTTAATTAGAAAGAATAAAATGTTTCGGTTTACTCACAATTCTTTTTATATAAAAAGAAACAACATATTGTATTTAAATGTTAACTTGCTACAGTACTGAACTTACCTGCTTAATTTAGTTCTTTATTAAATAAACGACTGGTTATCTAACTCGGTGACAGAGTTTACTCACTGTAATTGCTCACTTCTGACTCTGCAACTCATGCACACTGACAGATCACTAATTGAATCCTGACTGGAAAAATCAGTGGGAAAAAGAACTCTGAGGTACAGAGGGAAGCAATTGGCTGCCACTATGTTGACTGACAGCAATTGCCGTCCAGAAAGGTCCCTCCTAGCTAAAACCTCTTAAAGGCATCATATGAAGGTGTAATATATCCAGCAGACAAAACCTCCATCCCGACCCCTTCCAGAACCGAATATGCCATTTGGTTTGGTTATTTGGGATTAAAAATAATGGACTGGTCTTTCCAGCCAGGATTGTGCCTACCCTTGCCAACCTTGCATGGCAAATAGTGTCTCTTAACCTAACTTTCTTGCTGCTCCTTGCTTGAGGACCTAAGTTGGCTTTGGTTGACATGTTACAGCAGTCCTCTCTAAACCAGTGGTTCTTAACCTTTGTTACTCAGGTGTTTTTGAACTGCAACTCCCAGAAACCCCAGCCAGCAGAGCTGATGGTGAAGGCTTCTGGGAGTTGCAGTCCAAAAACATCTGAGTAACAAAGGTTAAGAACCAGTGCTCTAAACCAGCCCACGGGGCATCCAGCTCGCATATTTTCCAAATGCAGTAAGAAAATGGGTAGCTGATTTCTTCTCCTCAAATAGCTTCTACCTGTGGCAAACAAGAACATCAGAGATTCTGGGCAAACCTCCCTGACGGCAACAGCTCTTTTATTTACAGGGATTTTAAAATATGAAACAGCAGAATGTTAAAATATATAGTCACTAAACTTCCTTGAGAAATAGTACAAGTATAAATATATGTAAGAAATATATAGAAAGCTTTTTCTGAACGTGCAGCATAGCAGCTCTTGGGTAGTCCTTAAGAACTGCTGTCCGGAGGAAAAGAAGCCAAGTGTTTACAGTAAAGGACGACCAGCAAAACAAAGAGAGGCCATTACGGGATCGTCCAGATGAATGATTATAACACATCTTTGTTGCTTTTCATGTTCTTGAAACTCTCCATGGTTGCGATTATGGATTTTATTAAGTTTATTCCTCTCTTCCCTCTTTTTTTAAAAACAGATAATGTAGCCGATGATGACCTGTCAGAATACTTGACTAAATCCTACAGAGAAAAGGTATGACTTGTAAAGTAACGACTGAGACACAATGATAGTAAAATAATGTTAGGATTTCGGTTGTGTGTGAAGATATTTTTCTACCACATAGTCTTAGGTTTTCATTCTAAATATGTTGCCATTGTTTTAATAGTTGGCATTATTTTGTTTTGATTTACTTCAGGCACCTGTTCAGGAATCTTTTTTTTAAACCAATAAATTGGAGGTATTTTCTCACTTAACTAAAAATCTTAATGGCAAGCAGGGTTTATTGTTAAATAGTTTCAGTGTTTCAGCAAAACCCCGAAGTATAAAAAAAAACAGAACAAATTCCTTCAAGAATTAATAGGTTTCTCAGTTCCTTGTAATTAGTCTGTTAATTTCACCTATTCAAGATGTCAAAAGTCCATGCTGAACGATGTCCAGTCTAGTTTATGCCTCCAAATATGGGGTCTCCCTGGAGGGAATGTGTGACAGCTCCAAAACTTGAAAAAGTTGCTTTTTCAGCCTCTCCCAGAATCGCCCAACCAGCATACGCACTCTATGCAGAAAAGCCTCAAGTAAGGTGCCAGAATCACTCTTTCTGGATTGTACTGTTGAGAATCACCTATGCTTAAAAGTTTTGAAAAATATTGTCCATTGCAAGTGACAGGGCAGCGATAGTCCATGGCTGTCCAGATGAAGCAGTCATTCATCCAGCTGACTCAGAATTATCTGGATCCCCATAACTCATTCATTCTTCTCCGTTTGCTCTTTGTTCTCTTCTCAAGATTCTGCCTGGAGATGCTGGGACTTTGAAAAGAATCCCAGCACATGAGATTGAACTAGTGAGATACTTCCAGAAGCATGACTTTTAAGGAACATTCTGACCAGAAGGTGTTTAAAACCTTAAATCGGTAGAACTCAAACACAATGATTTGTGCGCATTATAAACATCCAGATTAGATACTCATTAGTATCTAAGTTAGAATCTCAAGCTTTAAGTTGTTAAAATACTGCTGATGTGAGGGATATCTAAATTGAGTAACAGTTCTTGGTTTTTAATCTGGAATCCCAGAGATAAAACAAGGAATTAAACGTGTGTGTACAATATGCCCCTTAGCAATAAGTTGTACTGGAAGTCAATGTAGTAAGTATTGTATGCTCATAAATTAATGGTGTAACGGCCAGGTTTTTTTTTTGATTGAATAAATCTGTTAGATCTTGGTTGTTTCCTCCATGTTGCCAGCTTTTGTGCTGCTGAGCCTGAACAGTTTGTCTGCATAAAATATAGCAATCTTGTTAAAGCTTAGGTTGGGATGGAAACTGGTGTGTTCTGTTTTCTTTCTTTTGAGTAGCATTTGGCAACTGGTGTGGACTAATTCACTTTCTGGTTGTTGTCTCATGAGTTCAGTAGCCTTATTATGTTAGCATCTTGTGTTCTTATTAGCTGCCAGAAATAACGAAGCATCCCTGCAGGAGATGCCCGTGCGAATAGTCTCTTGGTGCTTGTATGGCAGTCTCTTGATGGTCTTGCAGGTGGATCTCTGCATCGAGGCCTTTGGAACCAAAAAGCAGAAGAAAGCCCTGAACTCTCGGAGGATAAATGAAGTTGGGAAAGAAGTGGTGCATAAGGCGGTGGTTAAAGCAGCAGAAGAGATCATAGAAACCAAGGGTGTTGATGGTAAGGAATGATCGGATTTAGACATGTTGCTTTTGTAGACTAAAGCTCCCAAAATCCCACAGTCAGCATGGCCAGTAGGACTGTGGGAGACTTAAATCCCTCACCTGTTCAGGAATCTCAGCTTGGGGGTGATCCTGGATTCATCTCTGAGCCTGGATGCCGAGGTTTCAGCGGTGGCTAGGAGTGCCTTTGCACAGTTAAAACTCGTGCACCAGCTGCGCCCATTTCTTGGGAGGTCCGATCTGGCCACAGTGACACATGCCCTAGTTACATCTTGGTTGGTTTACTGTAACACGCTCTTCTCTTTGGAAAGTGTTCGAAAATTCTGAAGGCTCCAAAATGCCACAGCCAGATTGTTAACTGGGTCTGGTTACAGGGAACATATGGGTCCTTTTAAAGGAGAAAGGTGGGATAAAATTAATTAATAAATAAACATATAATTATCCTGTTACAGCAGCAACTCTGAGAGTCCATTTCTGGGCACAATTCATAGTGTTGGTTTTAACCTAAAAAGCCTTAAGCGGCTTGGATCCAAGCTACCCAAAGGACCCGCCTCTCCCTTTATGAGCTTACCTGGGTATTATTCTCTCAGTTCCACCACCCTCAGAGGTCTGCTTGGTGGAGACACAGGAGAGGATCTTCTCCATTGCTCCTTCCGGACTCTGGGGCTCCTTCCCACGGGAGGCCAGTCTGGCCCCGTCTTTGCTGTCCTCCAAGAAAGCAAAGACCTTTCTCTTCAGGCAGGCTTTCATTTAAAAGGCTGGTTGGTCAAGGGCATTTTTAAAAGTGATTATTCCGTTGCCTTACTTCAGCTTTTAATATTGCTCTTATTTATGAGTTTTAATATTATATCTGTTTTTTTTTAAATACTGTTTTCACGGGAGGCCAGTCTGGCCCCGTCTTTGCTGTCCTCCAAGAAAGCAAAGACCTTTCTCTTCAGGCAGGCTTTCATTTAAAAGGCTGGTTGGTCAAGGGCATTTTTAAAAGTGATTATTCCGTTGCCTTACTTCAGCTTTTAATATTGCTCTTATTTATGAGTTTTAATATTATATCTGTTTTTTTTTAAATACTGTTTTATTTATTATTATTGCTCTTATTTATGAGTTTTAATATTACATCCGTTTTTTAAAAAAAATACTGTTTTATTTATTATTTAATTTTTAACTTTGTTTCTTTTAATATTGTAAGCCACCTTGGATCCTTTAGGAGAAAGGCTGCATATAAATATTTTAAATCAATGAATAAAATAAATAAATAAATTGATAAATAACTTTTGAGGGCTCTGGGAATTAGAACTGTGTAAATGGAAGAGCTGAAGATGTTAGGTCTTCTGTCATTCAGTAGGTCCTTCAAGGCATTCTTAATCTCTGAATAAATTATGATACATCAGTAAAAATGTAGGCATCTTAAATCCATCAGATAGTGTTGGGTATTAAATCTGTCAGATAAGTAAATCAATGATCCAGTTAAGTCAGACACTCTTTTCATTGTTTCTTGCAACTTTCCCTTTGCTTTCAAAGCTTTGGTCAACGATGCAGCAGAAAATGTGAAGGGAGATGTCTCCTTGGTTCTTCCCCCATGCCATGAAGATGCCAAGAAGCCAGAAGATGTCTACAGATTTGAAGACAGTATCCTTCACGAGACAAAACAAATGAATAAGTGTTAACTTTATTTCATTCTGGCCAGACCTTAGTCTTGGTTTAAAAGGAACTGGCTTCAGTGGTGATGGAAAGAGAGGGAGCTGATGGACCTATAAGTCAGTTTTCTTTGTTGTGGGGAAGAGATGGACTAGACGTGCAAATGCTTCTGAAGCCTAATTGCTAATCGGCTAAACCACTGGTGTCAAGGAGGCAGTTGTCCCCTCTGCTCCAGCCTAAATGCTGTCTTTAAAACCAGGCTAGACAGCTAAAGCTTCTCCTGCTTTCCACAAAACTGGTCTGCCAGAGAGTACTCTCTCTGACGTCAGAAAATTCAATGGTTATGGTTGTCCACAATGGCCAGATATCCAAATTTAATCCTTCTCAATTGTGTGTTGTCTTTTGAAAGTGTGCAACCTATGTCTCACGACTAGAGATGGGTGTGGACCATGGTTTTTGTGCTTTGGCGCCGTTTAGCGGATCAGGCCGACAGGTGTTGCACGGGCACCTTGGATTCCACACCTCTCCTGTGAGTGCCCACTCAGAGGCATCACCTCAGGCTTCCCTGCCCTGCCACCTCCTCTGAAGGAGGCAGGTGCCCACATGAGGAAGCGGGGTGAGGAATCCGAGGTGCCCACGCAACACCCATGGGGCCCGATCAGCCAAACCGCAGTTTGTGCCCATCTCTACTCATGACCTTGTTCAGGCAACGATTCATCGTACACCTTAATGCTCTGCCTACCATTTCACCAACTCTACGAGATGCTTCAGCTGAACTTCATTGTTCGAGGAGAAGAGGGGCAAATTTGGGCGGGGGGGGGAAGAGTATAGGGATATAGTGACTCCAAGTCCAAAAAGTAATGGATCTGTAGTTTGCATTGATGTGTCTAGGAAAGCATTTGTCTGTGCATTTGCTTCTCTTCCTTTATGAGCTTAAGTAAGCCAAGCTTACCTACAGATTGTATTTGCCTTCAGTGTGGAAGGGATGGTCACTCTCGAATTGGCCTTCTCAGCCACACTAGACGCTGTTCCAAGACCTCTATTCAGAGCACGTTGCCATAGTCTCTTGAGATTGAAGGATGTCTACACACAAGCCAAGCTAACAAAAAACATCTTGCCAGCTTGAGTGGAAAATACTTTCTTCTACTGACAAGGGGGACGGCCCACCAGAAATTCGTATCTGGGCCTAGCTGAAATGAAAGGGACATGGCTGTCCCAGGAAGTTGTCAGGCCCTGCTTCCCCGCCACCCCCTGGTGTTTAACAGCACCTGTACTGGTTGTCTTTAAGTATCCCCTTGCTTTGCCTCGTGGCGTTAAGATCAGGACTGATGCTTTTGCCAACTGGGGTGCCAAGGGAAATGTTTAGAAGTGAACAGTGTTATTATTCCAAGCATGCCTTCAGTTATTTCACCTGCTGAATATGAGGCGCTTCAGGCTCCAGCTGCAGTTTTCATGAACCTCACCTCGGAGGAAATCCTCAAAATGGCAGAAGAAAAAGGGTGAGCATGCTCTCCGTTGAATAGCAGGAAGAAGGGAGGGTTGAAGTATCACTGCCTGTTTTACTGCTGAAAATAGAAGAGTGGCTTCGCCATGCCATTGGCTTGTTTGGAGAAGATATAACAACTTCGTGTATATGTGTGGAGGTCATTTGAGGATTGCAGCCTCAGTTTAGCTGTGCGAATGAGCTGTAGAGAGATGGGACCCAAATATATATTGGGTAATATAGTGGGTACTCCAGTATAGGTGGTATAATACTGTATTGTTTATTAATTGGGCTGGCTTAAAGCATGCTTTTTAACTGCACAGAATTCTGTGAATATATCGCGGCTGAAGAAGCATCTCTTGCTTTCTGTTGCCTGATTGCTTTTTGACCAAATGATAGCCTTTTCTTCCTTGCTTAGGTACTGCTCCTTTGTTCTGGATGAACTTAAGTCCATGCCTATGAATGAGAAGAGCCGTGACCACAAAGCCCGATGCCTCTGGTATTTGGATTGTCTGGTCAAGCTGAGTTCGCAAAGAATGGTTAAAAAGAAACGTAAGCCTTGTTTTCTCCTTTTGCATAATGTGGGAATTATGGCAGCCTGCGGGAGGTTTCTGCAGGTTTAACACATTAGGCTTGTTTTGTTTTGTTCTGCATTATTGTTTATTTGTTTAATGTGCAATTATTGGCATAGTTTGTCCATCTTGTCATGGGGAAGGCCAGAGTATTTTCCCCTGTCTCTCAAACACAGAGCAGGCAAAGTGGCTTTAATAATATAATAACAACATAATCTTAGAACTGGAAGGGACTCTATGGATCATCGAGTCCAGCCGCTGTCAAAGAGGCACTGTGGGAAGCTGGACCCCCAGCCTCTGGTTCTGCTGCTGATTCTGCTGCCAGATACCTAAGCCAGGTAACTATCCAGCAGTCTTAAGAGCTTTGAACCCTGTGACTGCAAAGGGTTCTAGTAAATTTGAAAGAGTAAACAAATCTATGGAAAAGATGATCAAGCCTGCTACTTGGTGCCAATGATCCCTTCATGTCAATTTTGGAAATATCTTCATCTGTTGCCATTGTAATCTAAAGTTGAATACACCTTTCTTTCTGGAATGCTCTGTTTTTGGAAACTCCACTTAAAATTCCTTCCTGTTTCAGAGGCACTGGGACCCGAGTGTCCAGACGTCATCAGCAGCAGACTTGTGAAAACCTTCACAGCACTGTCCTATGGCAATGGCAGGTAGGAGGAAAAAAATGTTTTGCTCTCGTAATTGGCAAAATATCTGAATCAAGATTTGTATTGGCTGGCCTTTAGTCGTTGAAGAAGGTTACTGGACCAGATTTTCATGGGATCGTGGCATAATAAGGCATGAAGAATGGATGGCGGAAAGACACCCAAGATAGAAAGGAAAAACAGCTGTAAATATCTTCATCTGTTGCCATTGTAATCTAAAGTTGAATACACCTTTCTTTCTGGAATGCTCTGTTTTTGGAAACTCCACTTAAAATTCCTTCCTGTTTCAGAGGCACTGGGACCCGAGTGTCCAGACGTCATCAGCAGCAGACTTGTGAAAACCTTCACAGCACTGTCCTATGGCAATGGCAGGTAGGAGGAAAAAAATGTTTTGCTCTCGTAGTTGGCAAAATATCTGAATCGAGATTTGTATTGGCTGGCCTTTAGTCAGTGAAGAGGGTTACTGGACCAGGTTTTCATGGGATTGTGGCATAATAAGGCATGAAGAATGGACGGCGAAAAGACACCCAAGATAGAAAGGAAAAACAGCTGTCTTCTTTATTCCCAACACATTTTGATATATAACCATGGGGATGGAAGTAACGTTATGCGAGGCACCACTGTATAACCATGGGGATGGAAGTAGAGGGATCTTAGATTGATCCCTAAAGCTTTGGGCAAGGCAGAGGAAATTCTTCATGTTTGCAGCTAACTCATTAAGACGACACACATTCTTCCCTCTCAAGGAAAAAGAAGATCAAAATGCGTTGGGAGTAAAGGAAAATCCGGGCAACTGTTTTGTGTCTCCCATTGTGTCTCTGTGTTAAGGTGGTCAACTTGTGTCACTGCAAATATTGTTGGACTACAGCTCTCATGCTCTCTTACTTCTGGCCGGGTTTGATAAGAGTTGTGACTCAGGTGATCAGAGGACGGCAAGTTGCCTACCTGTGCAGTGATGTTGCTGTGTGCTCTTGTGTCTTTAATAATGCCTCCCCCACAAGAAATTTGGTTTCTTGGGGGGGGTGGAGTTGGAAATGCAGAAGGCGCACAGCATAGGATATGACACATTTTGAAGCAATTTCTTTTCTGTTCATTTTAGGATACAAAATCAAGTATCTGCTTCCATGAAAACTAAGATAACGGCCTATACCATTGCCCTGGCTTTGCATATAAACAATTTCCAAACAGACTTAACGGTTTTGCAGCGGGATCTCAAGTTGCGGGATAGCAGGTGAGAAGAACTCTGTGGCCACATTCAGCACCTGTGGCCTGATTAAACCACTGAGAGTTTCGGGACGTGGATAAAGTTTCTACCTTCCAAACCTTGAAGGCCTTTGTTGCTGATCTCATCAGGAACTTTAACATTCTGAAGTCTCTCTGGGCCTGTAGATGTCTTAGTGGGCATTTTCCCGTGCCTTTATCAGCAGCCTCTCAGGCAGAAGTTCAGAGTAATAAAACTTCTCCCCATCAGTTCTATCTGCCCCTGCTCAGAAAATCTTCACAATTAAATGCCTTGTGCTTTGGGCTTGTATTCATGGCCCAAGTGTAGTGCTAAGGGGAAAACAAGGTCCCAGGTTCCTTGCCAGGAAGGTGTGTTCTTACACCTTTTAGCAGCAGGGAAATGCGTGGGGGGAAGGATAAATCTTGAAACTAAGTTTACCATGATAACTGGTAAGAATGATAGTAAGATGTAGACTGTACTGAGATCAGTATGTAGTAAGTTTGTACAGCAGGCATGATGGGGAGAGTTATGTGACAGCGAAGAATTTAATCCTAATTAGTTAATCCTAATTACTGTAGTTGATCAGTCTAAAGTAATCAGCCTGGGAATCTCTCACTTCCAGTTTCAACAGTCTAGGTTGTTGTTAACCCAGCGGGTGACTGCAACCAAGGTTTATTAACTTCTGATGAGTACGTTCCACCAGGCTTGGCCTCTTCTTCACACATTTTCGGAGACAGAAACTCTTAAGAACAAACCTTCTGTTGTACTGCTTGTGCAATAGCTGTGATCTCAATAGCCATGATAAAAAGTATTACTGGATCATGTGAACAATTCTATATTTAAGTATCTTTTCCTGCAGAGCTGGCTCTTTTTAAATTATAAAAGCAACTCTCCTAGAAACAGTTCCATTTCCTGTGATTTTTAAAAATTTATTTGCATTTTCTGTTGGAAGTTAATTTTTTATGAATATTGATGTTATGCAAAATGTGGGAATTTTATTCAGTGCAATCAATGTATTCAGTCATTTTGGGCTGGGGAAGCGAAAACAGTGGATGGAGACATCAGACTTTTGCAGGCTTTATGTTAAATACCAGCATATTTAAGAATATCTCACCTTTTGCTCAAAAAAGAGGAATTATGGAGACACTGTTTGTAACCTGGCTGGCTTTTGGAATTTACAGTCTGTTTTGTTCAGTATGTTACTTTCTTGAGCAGAAAGCAGCCTTTTAAATAACCACTGACCTGGTCACATTTTGAAAATAGAACTACCCATAGAAGCTACACTTTCAGCTGCGTAATTTTCCCTGCCTTTTCAGACTGCAGGAGGTATTCCTAAGCAAATGCAGCAGTAAACTCTTTTCTGGGCTGGTAACTCACTATCAGTCAAAATTGACTTTACTGTATATCATCCTCATCACTAATTTCTAGAGAAATATTTACAACTGATAGGCTGTCTTGTCTTGAAGAGCCAAACGGTGTCTCTTAATTTACGTAGTGCCCTCAGCGTATTATGTTAACAGTGTCAAGGACCTTATAATCTTCAGTCACAGGGGAGGAGCCTCTGCCTCTCCAAATGTTTTGGACTTCCACTCCCAACAGCGCTAATCAGCATAGCCCAGTGGCAAGGGATTGTGGGAACTGAAGTCCAAAACATCCAGAGGCTGAAGGACTTCCACGTCTGGTCTCCCAAGTGTTGATTGTAGCATGAGGTGCCAGGGAAAAGCCACAGCAACAAAGTATAGGAGGGAATGGAGGGGCAATTGGTGTGGGATGGACGTGGTCTCTTAACAATTTTGTTTTGTTTTCTCGCATCAGAATCCTTGATATTGCCAAAGCGATGCGGCTGAAGATCACCAAAACCAAAGGCCTCTCTGGACTGGATGAGCACAAGATAGGAACGCTCTCTTTGCCCTTACCTGTGTACAAAATGCCAGCAAGCCATCGGAGACGCATCGCACGCTGAAATACTCCCTTGCCAGGCATTTAGAGGCATTTGTCCAATGCTGTGCCATCTTCTGAATAAATGTGTCGAATCTTCTGATGCTTCGCTGCTCCCTCAGTAGCCTCTTTTTCAGCTGCTGTTGGGGGGGGTGTTGGTAGTCACGGTGTTGTGACATGAGCAGATTCTTGGATGGGACAGAGGCCCAAATAAATGGAACAAAAGGACTGGACCTGCTTGTGCCCAGTGAGATCATTTTCTTTCTCTCTTGAAGCTAATTTACAGTACAGCTCTCTAGGTTGGTGTGTCCACATCAGCTGGAGGAGATGAATCAGAAGAATTAAAAACAACTCCTAACGACGAGTAAAAATGTTGGTGTCATTTGGCATCTTCAGTTACAGGAGCCCCTCATCCCTTCTTACACCATTTTGCCTTTAAGGACTTGAAATACAAACAGTTCTATTAATGAATGAATGCTTGATCCTTCATTATTTAAAACTGAGCCCTTATGAGCTGCTCTGGGGAGTGAGAGTGATAAATCAAATCAAGAATAATAAACTCGTGGGCAGTTCTTATAAAGTGTCTAACAACTGCAGACATGAGTTGCAAATAGGTTTAGTCATTCTCGTCAATACTTAATTAGGCAGGTATATTTTGAAGCCAGTTGAGCTAATCTTTTACCATTTATGACTGCTGAAATGGTGTTTCCCCCTCCCCCCATGATAGCCATAGCAACACTCTCTTAGTGCTAGAATCTTTCTCTCACTTTTTAGTCACCCTGACTTCGCACCCTCCGGTAGCCAAGAGCTTTGTTCCTATACCATTTCACCTCTTCAGAGTAAATGCATAGGAACTCCACTTTTTCCTTGATTTTTTTTCCTTTTTAAAGGCTTTGGCCTAAAATAGTCCACAAGGTGGGGTTACATTTCAATGGCAGATTGCATACGTGCGGCAGATTGCTGTTTTTGGATCAAAGCCAACGTTATTTGAGCGGCCAGAGATGGCCTCTCAGGCCCTCAGAGGTTGCCTGCCCTTGGGCTGGATGCTAGGCCAGGAAATCTGTGGCCAAAGATCCCTATTAGTGCCTGGTTTGAAGAAGGGCAACGGCGTGCTCCAGAAGCTGTACCGTTACTGAAATAACAGCTTTTCTGATCAGTGCTCCAAAGAGAGGCTTCTAAACAAAAGAGTCTTGAAAAAGGAGGTGTAGCTTGTCGGGGGAGGGGGAGAAAACCAGAGCCTGGTGGCAGATTCGATTTTTGTCTGGCATCAACTTTTGTTGACTGTAGCTCATTTGATTTGCATCTGAGGGTGGGGTTGCAGTCCATAAAAGTGTATTGCAAATAAACTGTCTTAAGAACAGGCTAAAAGTAAACGAAATGCAAGAAATGCCCTACATCTGTCTTAATTAAAAGTACTTCATTTTTCATGACATCACACCCTGCAGGTCCTTTGACGTCTCTTCTGATCCTCTGCCCTTTCCCACACTACTGTCTTCCCTATGCTTGAATGTTTTCTTGTTCATCTGTGTTTACAATTACACTTTTATTGGATTTCTACCCTGCCCATCTAGACCAAAGATTTTCACCTTCTTCTTGTCCTAAAAGCATCCTGAGTCCTGACCTCATAACCTGCTTGTACATAAAAAAAACTTCCATTGGATTCTATTTTTCCTCCTCAGAACAAACATGTGAAATTCGTTTTGTAAATGCTGTAGTGTTAACCACTGCACACTGTGAGAAACTGCCACATGCAAATAGCCTGCACAACTAGTGTGTCAAAATAGCATCTTCTTCTATCAGCAGAAGAACTAGGAGAGAAAAGTCTCATTTTTCAAGGCAGGAAGGTAATCGGCGAGCATCACTTCACCGCTAATAATATCTTGTGATGCCAACAAAGGATGACTCTTATCTCCCACTACAAAATCTGTTCACAAGTCTTATGATGGAATGTAGTTGGGCCAGGCACAGCGCTGTTGATGAGTTTGCCTATGCAGTATCATCCTTCAGATTAAATTTATTCCAGTGAACTCCATTTTTATTGTGATGAGAAAAACTATTTTCAATTTAAAATAATTTGTATTGACTTTTTGTGTTTAATTTTAAATAATTACACATTTTTCCTATCAAAAGTAATTAGCCAATAGTCAAAGAGCAGCAGCTAACCGTGAGGGTTCCTTGAACCAACGACGTGATAACTCTAGTTTAGGAATCTCATTGCAGGGAAAGAGTTCGGGTTTCCCCACTGTACCCCTTTGCCAGGGACTGGACTCTTAGCGATCCATAGGGTCCCTTCCAGTTCTTGCAGCTTCAAGAGGATTCTGACGATTTGTTGTAATGTTAAAAACAAAAATGGACATAACATTAGAAATTCTGTAAACTGCTAAGGATGACAGCCGCTTCCTGCCATTCTAAGATTGGGCAGTTTTCTTCTACCCAGCTTCTCTTACTCATGAATAAGAATGAGGGAGCAAAGGGCAAGTTGGGTTTTGTTTTTTTGTTTTGCCCCTTTATACAAACAGATGCAGTGGGATAGGGATGTGATTAAGATACAATTAAATTTTTTTTATCTTTTAAAATCTGGCTTGTCAAAGGTCAACAATGCAGCTATCAGCTCCTCATCAGCAGAGCTACTCCTGGAACACGGATGTGTGAGCCACCTCTCGTGGATATATACAGACACGTGTTGCTGGCTGGGATGGGTCAACCACTGCCCTTTCCCAACTCAAGCGTACTGTGTTTTGCTATTGTCAAGCCACTGTGAGTTCCATAGTGACCACAACACTGCTGGGGACAGGGACAGAGGATGGCAGCTAGGAAGGGACACACGGTGTTACTTGTGCAGTTTCCAAGTGCTCTCTCCTCCCCAAATCTGAGTCTACCAGGATTCCCTCCTCGGCCTCTATTGATGGCACTGGACCCCTTACTCTCATTTGTATCTGCTTACCCCACTTCCGCAATGCATTGTGCAAAAATAAATAAAACCAGTTCACAACACTACAGTGTTTAAAATATAGCACTTTATTTTGCAATATGCTGGTCTTTCTTAATAAAAACTTTACATGGAATGCTTGTAACTTCCTTTACAAAGATCACGCGGAATAGATTATAATCCAGCCCAAAGTTGAAAGCTTTCTAAGAAATTCTTTGAAACATGAGTGGCCTTCTGCTGTTAGAATTCAGTTGCTTTCAAAAGGGGGACTCTATTGCTTTAATACATCTAAAATCAATTGTGGCTAAATACAATTAGACTGGATCCAGGTTAAGATGTTTGTAATTGGGTAGTCAGAAGTGGATTTCTCTGTCTTACTTTGCTCCATGAACTATTTTGAACTGCAGAGGAGAAACACATAACCATTACTGGATGGAGCAGAATCCATCCATTTATGGAAAGTCCGCATTCACTCCACTAAAAAGGGACACTTCAGTTATCCACAACTAACTTTTAAAACTGGGTTCAAGGGACTAAAAGATCGCTCAAGATAGATGGGGGGGAAGGCTCAATTGCAGAGTAGTTGCACTGCAGTCCTAACACATTTAAAGAGGAAGCAAACCCTACTATGAATAACAGTATACTTCCTGGAAAACGTGCATAAAGTTGCACTGCTGGCTTCTGTATTTTGCTAACTTGCAGTCTTACCCAGTGGGTTTTTGCTCCAACACATTTGCTTTTCTATACAGGGCTGTCTCGAGTAGGGGCACAGGATCGCAGCCATATTAATGCCTATGTCCAGAGCAACTTTCTATGAACATACTTAGTTCTTGTTAATGTTTAAAAAAATGTGGAGATGTAATCTAAGAAACAGGAATGGACTGCAGAGCATATATTCTGTGCGTATAAGCCCTGTGTCCTGAGCACACTCCTGTACTGCAGTGAGTCCTGGACCCTTTGTGCACAGCAGGAGAGGAAGTTGAACACGTTCTATTTTGGTATCACCTGGCAGGACAAAGTTCCAAATAGAGTAGTCCTAGAACGAGCTGGAAGTTTTAACATGTATACATTACTAAAACAGCGATGTCTATGTTGGCTTGGGCATGTTGTAAGAATGGCTGATGGTCCAATTCCAAAAGATCTCCTGCATGGAGAATTAGTGCAGGGAAATCGCCCCAGAGGGAGACCACAGCTGCGATACAAGGATATCTGCAAGCGGGATCTGAAAGCCTTAGGAATGGACCTCAATAGATGGGAAATGTTGACATCTGAGCATTGAGCCTGGAGGCAGGCGGTGCAGCATGGGCTCTCCCAATTTGAAGAGACACTTGTACAGCAGGCCGAGGCAAAGAGGCAGTCCCGAAACAAGCAAAACCAGGGAGCTGGACAGGGGACAGACTGTATTTGTCTTCAGTGTGGAAGAGATTGTCACTCTAGAATTGGCCTTCTCAGCCACACTAGATGCTGTTCCAAAACCAGAGCACTTTACCATAGTCTCTCGAGACTGAAGGATGCCTACTAGACTACTACTAGAGATAAGCCCTGCACCACTGTTCAATTCACAGCATCTACTCTTTGGTGTAATACAGAACGATGGAGTTGGAAGGGGCCCACAAGGCCATTGAGCCCAATCCCTCTCTTCAATGTAAGAATCCAAGTTAAAGTCTACCTGACAGATGGCTGTCTAACTCCCTCTTGAATGCTTCCATTGTTGGAGAGCTCACCACCATTGCTGTCCTTAAATCTCATCTATCATCCTGGACTATTCGCTGCCATAAGTTCTGAATTAATTTGTGAAGTCTCCATAGCTGTGCTTTTTCTCAAAAGATTGAGTTCTTTTCGTGCCAACAGAAGTCCAATTTTTAAAGCATCAGGCTTGTGCCAGAGGGTCAGCAAAAGAGGCCAGATATCCGGGTTGGACACTCGCTTGGCCTTGATGAGCTGAGAACTAGTGCTGCCTTGTTGCTATTCACAGAGCACCCAGCCTGTCCTGCTCAGAACCAGAGCGCGCTCTTGGGTGTAAGACGTGCCAGACTTGCCATTAAGAAATATTTGCCCAAGAGTCTCCTCCCTTTTTGTGCAATGTCACAAAAAAGAAACATTTGCCAACCCAAATGGGTTCAAGGCAACCATCTAACAATATTCCACATATCTATTTTCTTATTAAATGAGCCTATAGGAATTTCTTCTCTTATTTACCATTTCCAACCACCAAGTTCTGGAACAGCTGAACTCCAACCACATGTAAGGCTGCTGCCAGAAGAGTTTATGTGTATGAGTACTTGTGTCACAGATCGGAAAAGGCAACCAGCTTCTCCTTGAAGGTCCTGTTTTGAGGGCTCCCTAATGAGGCAGTTCTTTGTCTACTGTGACCAATCATGGAACTGTTAAAGGAAGGATGGAGAACATTCAGGCCTCTCTAAATGCTTCGGACTACGACTTCCATTAGCCATGGCTGGCACTGCCTGTGGCAAGCAACTGTGGGAGCTCTCGTCCAAAACATCAGGAGGGCCAAAATTCCTTATGCTTATACTCTCTCGGGACTGGTGTAAAACTAGCCCAGTGCAACCAGAGAGATAAGTGCTAACCTCACCCACCAAGGTCTTAGAAACCCCTCCCCAAATAAATCAACTTGTCAAGTCACAGCCTTCAATTTCTTCCCATTCCCATCTTCAGTTGAAGTGTCAGTTTCCAGCTTTCCACTCTGAATTTGTCAGAAAGAAGCAACTATCCCTTTATCTAAGCCAGAGGGGTTTCAAGAAAACTTCCTGCCAAAGAAATGTCTTCATCAGATTGATGTTTTCAAGTATTTTCAAAAAGGCACACTGTGTGCAAGTGGATCATACCCTTTGTTTTGTCCTTTTGCATAAAATGGCATGTTATGAGCAGCCCCCAGTCTGAAATCATCCCATGCCACCCAGAAATTTCATTTGTTTGCATCTCCCTGGAAATCATTTTAAAAGCCGGCGTCACCACGTTTTGACATGACTAGTCAGAATAATTGCTAGCTGTTCCTCCTGAGAAAATCTTCCCCCACTGTATGAAATACACTCTGTTCTTTTGCTGAAAATGTACACATCAACACAAATCTGAAGGATCCCAGGTGGGTCACTTTGTCTTCTGAAAAAATAAACATATTCTGATTTATGAGAAAAACACTGGCTTATGTGTACTTCATGCTACACATTTGCCTCGCCCCAGGCAACAAACAATGTATTATAAAGCTTGTTTACCTTCTCAGCACGCACGGGAAAACAGCTTCTACTTCTGGAGGGAAAGGAAGATTAATTCCAAGGTATGCCTCTCCTTCAATAGCTGCCTAGGAGACCAATGATATGTCTGGACACTTGACATCACCTTGCACCTAAACCAAATGACCTGTCTGACAAGTTAATGAATGGGAATAAGCTTGAACTGCTGGTTCAGTGGTTTAGGTCTCTGACTGCAGAGCCAGAGGTTGGGAGTTCAGTTCCCCACCGCGCCTCTTTAACAGGGGCTCGACTTGATGATTCACAGGGTCCCTTCCAGTTCTGCAGTTCTAAAATGATCATTATTATTTTATTATTATTAAAGAAATGAAAAACATTACATAAATAGCTGGTAGCCTCTCATGCATCAGAAGGGATAAAATTCCCCTCTAACAATGTTTCTTCACTGTCTTCCCTGAACTATGTAGCTTTTGCAGGCAGGGGACACACCAAGCTGATTAGGAGGAGAAGGTAACAATCACATTATGTATGTGGATCTCCCCAGCTTTCAGCTAGAAGAGTATCCCCAGCTAGTCCCACTTCAGCAGCTGCTTCATCCCCTCTAGTAATTAATTGTATGGGGGAAAGCACAGTTCTTGCTAGGTGGAGTGAAAATGCAGTGCCTTTATGACATCAGCTGCGTTAGACCAATCACCCCTCTCCATTCAGAACAAACTCTCAGTGACAAAGATATCTAAGGAAAAAGGGCCAAGAGATCTGAAACAAGAGTTAAGATTGGCCAAATGGCAGGTGATGTCACAAAGGCACTACTACCACTCACTGGCATAAACCCAGGGGTGGGCTGAAGCCTGAGGGAAGGAGCAGCAGAAACAGGAAAAGCAAACATTCCATAAGACTCCTAATGGAGAAGACCTGCCTGAGAAAGGAGATAGCCACCTGCAGTTGCTCACCCCTTCACATTCCCACCATTATTTAGTGGGCATTACACGAGTACCAAGGTTCCTGATGTGGTGTCCACGGGCAAGAACGGGGTCCTCAGACATTGCCCTTGGCACCCACCAGGCTCCCTGCCCCTTGGTTGGCCAGGTGTTTAAAAACTTCAAACTGGAAGACAAACGTGTCGCACTGCAAGGTACCAGCCTCCCAAACTACCTCGATTTCTAAGAATGGTTCTGGGCCCCACATAGGTTTCAGAAGCATTTTCAAAACAGAAAGATGGCGCACAGCTGAAATGCAGGGATTTCTTTTCAAGGTGGTGAGTGGCAAGTATTGTTGTTTTACCTTTTTTGTTGTCGTTTCTTTGGGATTGTGTGTTGAGAGGAAGGGAGGGAGGGAGGACTTTGTTTTGGTTTGTGTCACGTAGGGTGTGTGTACAGTATGTGCTTCTCAGAGTAGCAACAGTCTTATTTCTTACATTCCTATTTTGTTGCACTTTGTGGAAGCAAACATATGGTTTGGCAGCTGAGACTCAAAGCTCACTTCTGCTTCACACTCGCTGTTCATGGGCATGTTAGCTGCCTCTGAGTCTTACCACTTTCCCTTCTGTGGGAGTCATGGAGCAAACAACTGGGGATTCAAAAGAAAGATCTCACATTTTGGGGATCAGAATACCTCTTCCTTATACTTAAATTCTTGGGCAAGTTATCTTTTCCTCTCCCTCAGCAATTTACTGCTACCGTGGCAGCCATTTTGTGAGCAGGCAAGGCTTTCAATCCCCCTCCCCCCATGTGCGCCACTAAGACACTGCCACAAAAATGCCAAGTATGCTCGCCAGCCTCTCAAAAGACTGGAGAGCCCTTGCCCTGTGGGAGTCAACTGCACATGAGTTCACTAGCTTCTGCAATGAATACACATGGGAAGGTTTCCCGACTGGTCTCAGAGTTAGAGAAAAGGCAGAGGGATCACAGGATGGCGCAGAAGATGCTACCGTTGTTGTGGCAACCCCCATCCACTCTAGCAGCTATCCTGGCTGTCCTCTTTGAGCCTTTCTGATTGTTTCCTGATGTTGACATTCCTCTGGAGGATCCTTCAATGTGAGGTCTCGCTGGAGGGTTTTCTAAGGTCCAGGTATTGTCGGATCTGCAGAACGGAATGACATTGATGCATACGTCAAAACTCCAGTCTCCTAAGCACGATAAGGGAAATTCAGCGTTACATATGAATTCTGAAATGGAAGTGTCAGAAATCAATGGGGACCACATTTTGTTGCCACCAAGAGAAATAGGAACATGCCCCCAATAGAGCAGGTGCTTGTTTCATTTCTATCCCATCTTTCCTTCAGCAATTTCAAGACAGCAGATACAACCCTTCTCCTCTACCTTTTTATCCTAACAACATCCCTATGAGGTAGGACACACTGAGATAAAGTGGCTGGCTCAGGATGAATCCAGTGAGTTTCATTGGGTGGGGGCCACACACTGAGATAAAGTGGCTGGCTCAGGACGAATCCAGTGAGTTTCATTGATCTGCTTCTCCCAAGTCCCAACACAACACTCTTCAGCTATTATACAGCACAGGTTCTGGTATATTGCTTTGGCAGCCAATAGGTCTGCAAAATGACCAAGAGATTGGTACAGCCCTTGGCCAGATGTGAACTTGCCCCTCAACAGAAGACAAGTGTTCCTCCCATTTGGCGTTGGACGGGTTCTTCAGGAGATGAAAGAACCCCGTCTATCCCACTGAATATAACACAGGCTGCTGCTGAAAACTAGCAATTTCATGGATGGTCATTCCTAATAATGAATTAATCTTCTGTTTTCTGTTTCAATAACCTTCAGTTCAATAATGTTCCTCCAGATCCCTCCACTAAAAATCTAAAAAGATACACAGGAACAAGATGCTCTCTGTCTCTTTTCTCTGATCAGCTGTACTCAGGCACTTGACAAATACTGATTGACAGTCATCCTCTACATTCATTTCCTAAGGTGCCCCTTATAAGAGAGCCCTATTCACAATGCTTCTCTTCCTCAGCATGTCAGGGAAACAAGATCAAGCTATCCTCATCCTTTCATTATGTTCCACTGCCCCCAGCCCATGTACAGGGAGATTATTTTTATATTCCTAACAGGGTATTCATAACATAATTTCCCTTCAGACACCTTGACTCCAGAAAAGGCTTTAGCTCTGAATGCATTCAATGGGGCCCAAATCTGAAACGTATCAAGTGGACTGTCCCATGAACCTGCCTGGCTCAATTATCCTTCCCTTGTGAAGTCAGGACGCTGAGAGCTTAAAAGGAAGGGCTCCGTAATCATTCTCCCCTAAAGGCAAGAACATCCATGACGGCTGGAAACATGTTTTTTAAAAATGAAATGTAGATGATCATCAGTCCTGTGCCTGGGGAGGGATCAGAACTGAACACCTGAGTGTAAGTTACAGACGGACATGGGAGGAAAAAAAAGGCAGTCCATATGTCACATTGTATTCACAGAACACACTGCCAAAAGGGATGACACTATTTCAAGAGATTAAAAATGCTCAGCTATAAATAGCTGGGGGAATTTATTTTGCAACTTCATTGTGTGTGCCGTGTGCCATCAAGTCAGAACCATGTTATAGTGACCTTCACAGGAATTTCAAGGTAAATAAGTGAGCTATTTCAGGAGTGGTTTTACCAGTTCTACACACCCCTGGTGAAGCTTACATGGCCCAACAGGGATTCAAACTCAGGCCTCCTGGATCCTAGTCCATCACTCTATCTACTACCTACAAAGCTAGAGAATGAGAGCTTGTAGAAATTACTGTATATATATTTTTGGACTACAATTCTCAGAATACCCCAGCTAATAGAGCCACTAGCCTTGTTGGCTGAGGAACTGTGGGAGCTGTAGTCCAAGAATGTAACATAGCCAAGGTCTGGATACATATGCAACAAATATAAACTGCCCTTTTGGTACCCATTTATCTTGCATAATCCTTCCAACTACACCTACAAGCAACACTGTGACCTTAGTACAGGTACACAATTCTCAGAATACCCCAGCTAATAGAGCCACTAGCCTTGTTGGCTGAGGAACTGTGGGAGCTGTAGTCCAAGAATGTAACATAGCCAAGGTCTGGATACATATGCAACAAATATAAACTGCCCTTTTGGTACCCATTTATCTTGCATAATCCTTCCAACTACACCTACAAGCAACACTGTGACCTTAGTACAGGTACAAGGAACGTATTATCTTGCATAATCCTTCCAACTACACCTGCAAGCAACACTGTGACCTTAGTACAGGTATAAGGAACGTACAGGTAACAAAGATCTCAACTCCTTTCACAGAACTACAATTCCCAGAGTTCCTTTGGGGTCATTCTAACAATCACATTGATGTATGCTTGAGACACAGCCACTGTCCTCAATGTGGAAACGGCTTCAGCATGGTTTTCTTTCCTTTAAAACACAAAGAAGCAACATAGCTTACCGTTTCTTAAAGGCAAGGACTTTGTTGTTGCAAACGAGACAACTTTCAGTGTTGGATCCCTGCTGTAAAATGCTCTTTTTGGTTTTCCCTTGAAAAATCAGATTGTCTTGCACTAAGGCCTTGGTCACATCAAGGATTTCAATCCCATAACCTCGAAAGGAGTGGATTCTGTTCTTGGTGACCTGAAAGGGAAGAAAACAACCAATGATAAAATACAAATTTCTCCTAATACCAGGCTCAGCTGGTTATACACCAATTAATCTGGAACAGAAGCTGCGGTCATGCAAAAATCTGAATATCTACTGTGTTTCCCTGAAAATATGACAGGGTCTTATATTAATTTTTGCTCCCAAAATGCATTAGGGCTTATTTTCAGGGGATATTTTATTTTACAGTCATGTCATCATCTTCTGGTTGCTGCACAATGGTGGAGGGAGGGGGTTTCACTTAACTGGGACTTATTTTGGGGGTAGGACTTATATTATGAGCATCCTGAAAAATCATATTAGGGCTTATTTTCAGGTTAGGTCTTATTTTTGGAGAAACAGGGTTCCTCAAAGAAAAACAGCTACACAGAAGTCTGTAAATTAAAAGAAAAATAGTTACAAAAAATAGAATATATCTTGCTAGAGACCCCAGGGCTTCTACCTTACAGCACAGCAGTAAAGGTTAAGCCAACACAGAGACAGAAAGAGGCCCAAAGCAGCCTTTCTCAATGTAACAGCCTCCTGTAGTGTCTGACTATCACTCCCATTATCCCCAGCCAGCCTGTCTATCAATTACAGTACTACAAATCATGTGGAAACCATCAAGTTGAGGATTCCTAATCTAAAGGAACCAGAAATAAAGCAGGCTCAATTCTACAGTGGAGGAAAAAAAGCTGCCACCCAAAATACTACCTTGGAAAAACGGAGGAAATGGCTGGCTTCAGTCTTTGGCAAGTTATAGTCCATGGGGATAAGAAGGAATTTATGGAGGCTGGGAGCTTGGAGTAGTCCAAGGTGGTTATCTCTCCCCTCAACCCACCCCACTTCCCTTGGGATGGAGGAAGAACACTTCCCCCCCCTTCTCATTTGTCCCTCTTTAGAATAGGAGGAGTGTGCTTGTCAGCCCCTTGTCAGTAGAGACATGTACACATGCTAGACAGCTACACAAGGTCCACCTATGAGGCTCACCGCCTCCTAGAGCCCTGCAGCTCAGCAAGAGAACCACTCAGGGCAGGGCAGGGCACAAACACTTCCTCTGTACCTCCCTTGCCTCTGAAGAGGCCTGAACAAGGAGCACTGCTCATTCCCCAGTGCCCTGAATAAATAAACATCAACAGGAATCCATGGTTAGTGTAAAGCACACTCTTGCTCCTACAGCCAAGAACATCACACTGACAAGCATTAAAACCAAACCAAACCATATTCAACATTCAGGCCCTCTTCTAGAGGCCGACAGGATTGAAACTCTTTGTCTTCTTCCACTTCCAGTAGAGTTAAGCAGTTGCTGAAAGAATCTTATCTTTGCTGTCTAAGCAGTTGGATCCAAACGTAATTTCCCATGTTTTCCTCTTCCCATTTATATCCCCTATATAAAATGGACGGAAGAATTGTTTTGCAACTTTTACTGCCTGCCCCCCACCTTTAAGAAAACATCTCGACTGTTTATTTTACTTTTCCATTTGCATTTGCAATCAATGCCTACTGTCTTTTTGGAAAGGAATTTGAATAATGGTCCAATCCGCCTAAGACTTCACACCTATGGAACTGTATTTCTTGCTCATGTTCTTTGTCAAACACACCTCCTCTGGCTCAGATTTTTCTGCAGCAAAGGTATGCACTAAGTTCGGTTGAAGTTAATAATGTCATCATCATCAACAACAATAAAAAGCATTGTTCAGAAAGGGGAGGCCACAGCTTCAAACATCTATATATTTACTGCTGAAACAGGCTTTGGAGTCAGTATTGCTCAACGGGCTGGAGCAGTGATTCTCAACCTTTTGTCAGTCATGGCCATAAACACTATATGAAAGAAATAGCCACCTAGAGTGGTCGTAATTGACCAGATAGGCGGGATATAAATGGAATAAATAAATAAATATAGGTTGAATCAGGATTGTATAAGTCACGTAATGAACCTTACAAGGTAGTACGCCGCCCAGAAGCCACTGGTAATGGTGCGGCTAAAAAATATTGTAAAAATAAAATAAATAGGGTGTGAAGAACTGTTTCCAGTCTGTGACCCTCTTCAAATGTGTCTGGATTCCCGGTGGGGGGTGGGGAGGCTATGGTTCCTCTTGAGAATGTCTGGACTAGAGCACCTGGCTGAAGATTTTACACCTGTGGACTTGGGAAGGGTTGGGAGTATCTCTCATTGTCTAATTCCTTTAGAGTTGGGGAAGAGGGACTGAGTGAATGGGGAAAACCATACATAGGTGTAGATGGGTGTCTTTTGTTCCTGAGCTGTTAAGTGCTCTGGGGCTCTTCTTGTTGGTAAACATCCCATCTTGGTCCTATTACAATGGCTTAACATCTCAGGCTTGCCATGTTCTGGAAACAGCACAGCACAATGTAACCAAATCTCTCTCTCTCTCCACAGTACTAGAGCCACTGAGGACTGTTCGGAACAGCTGACTTGCTCTACCACTTCTCTTGGGATAGGTAATGGATCCCTACAGACTGGAAGCAATGAGAAACAACAGCCACCACCACAACAAGAAGCAAGCTTCTCGTTAGGCACCACTCTTGGGTATGTGGCTTATGTCGCAATTTGGGAATAATACTGTTTGGAGACCACAGCTTCCAACCACTAGTCATGCTGATTAGAGGAATATAGAACAAGACTAATAAAGATAATCTCAGAACTGCAGAACTGGAAGGGATCCTATATAGATCGTTGAGTCCAGCCTCCCTCTCAAGGAGGCACAATTGGGAATTAAACTCCCAACCTCTGGCTCCACAGCCAGATACTCTGGGACTTACAGTATCAACATATTTCCCTGATTGATTTGGAGCATATACAAAGCAGCAAAAAGTCAAGAGGATTAGAAGGCACAGAGTTTCACTTCCGAGATCTGGGTTCGTATCTCTCTTCAGCCAAAAACTTGCACTGGGTAACAGCAGGCCAGCCATCATTCTCAGCCAAGCCTACATCACAGGGGTGTTGGGAAGATAAAATTAGATCACGGTGGGCATGCAACCCTGGCTGGAGTCAGGACAGGCAGCCATTGATCGAGAGAGTCTATCTAAGCACATACCTTCATGTCCGCCGACTGCAAAAGCTTCAGGCCGCACCCCTTGTTTCCTAGGATGTCATTCTCTGTGATGACTCCCTCCCCCTTTGAGACAACCCCGTGGCTTATGTTGTCATAAATCCCGTTGCCGCGTAGCTCCACCTTGCACTCCGCTTCCACCAGAACTCCGCCGAGGCTATTGCAGGAGATGCTGTTGTTTGCGATCCGTGAGAGCTGAGTGCTCTGAAACACAGCCACCCCACAGTCCTGGTTGGCGTGGATGGCGTTTCCCATGATGTTCAGGGCCTCACTGCTCTTGAGGTACAAACCAGCAGCTACAAAAGGGGAGAAGATCCACACCAGATGCAATTAACCTCTACTGACCGAAATCAGGACAAGCCAAACCAAAAAGCTATTTACATGGAGAAAAAAATGCTTCTAAGATTTTCTTAAGACTCTCTGTAATAATAATGATAATTGCATGCTGTGGAGTCAATACTTACTTAGGGTGGCCTTTTTCAGGGTTTTCCAGATAGAACATACTCAGAAGCCATTGACCATTCCCTTCTTTAGGGTTTTCCAGATAGAGCATACTCAGAAGCTATTGACCATTCCCTTCTTCTGGGAGCGTCCTGGGACTGTGCAGCTTGCCCAAGGCCACACAGGCTGGCTCTTCTCCCAGGAGGCCCAGATGGGGAATCAAACTCCCAACCATACCTAAACCACTGAGCTATTCAGCCAGCAAAAACACTCTACAGTGAGTTTACATTAAAGACAGGCTACTGCCCTTATTAAACAGAACTCAGGGATAAAGACAGGCCGAGCCTGGCAAAGTTACTTTCTTTGTTGTTGTCTCTATAGATTCGGATTAACGGGCTCTGTGTCCACACAAAGCCACCCTTTGGAATATTTTAGATTAAAAGAGACTTAGGGCAGGAGCCCCACCCGCCCGGACAGCATTTCCCAACAGAGGCCATGGATTTGGATGGTGGTTCCAAAAAAGTAACCTTGAAAAGCTGTGGAGGTAATGAGCCTATGATTAAGTGTGACACCACCACCCCACCAGGACCCCAACTCATAGAGGATGTTGGTGGCAATGGGTGCAGGATGACAAGCTGCAGGGACCATTAAGCTGACCCTGGGGAGGGGCACCGAAAATGGCATGTGGCTGTTGAAGAGGAATGATGCAAGGTGGCAATGGGTGCAGGATGACAAGCTGCTGTTGGAGAGGAATGATGCAGGAGCAGAGCATGGCACACATGCCAGGGAAAGGGGCAAGCCCACACCAGTGACACCCACTGGCCCAGGCAGAGCACTCTCGGAGGCTTTCGAGGGATCCGACTGTGGCATCTACACCCCAGAGCTCAGTGGATTTCCCTGCCTTCGTTGTCAACTGACCACACCCTCTAGCAACCACCTGAGCACCAACAATACAAAGTGCTGCTTTGTCTCCAAGCAGTATAAGTCACTCCTTTGTATGTCCTGCCTCATCTGCTTGGCCGCTTTCCGTAACAAAACTAACTACAGACTGCTCTCCAGTTGCTTTCATCCTGTGGAGCAGAAATGGCCTTTCCCCCCCCCTCCCGTTTCTAAATATACGCAGAACAAATGGAGAGTCAGCTGCTAAAACTGTCAGTAATCAGCTCAAAACTGGATCGCAAAGGAGTGAATGTTCAGAGCCATAACTAGGGCAGGGCAATCGGTGCTTTGAAATCCAGAGGGCTGAAACCTACAGGGCCCCAACCTGTGCTGTGGAAAAGCACAAATCTGCCCAAGGCAAACAGCATATGCAACCTCCAAGCCACTCCGTCTGTGTCGGGCAAAGGGAAACACACAACAGGCAGGCTCGGGGCAGAATGAACGTGACGGTCTCACATGCAGACCCAGGCATTCTTCCCCCTTCTTCTGCCCTCTTCCTTCATATGCCAGTCTCACCTAGTTAAAGCTTAACCAATAGGGCAGTGAAGACCCAGCTACCAAGCCCCATTACATTTTCAATGAACACAAACCCTTAACTTTCATCAGAAATCAGTATGTATGTACAGTGGTGCCCCGCATAGCGACATTAATCCATTCCAGGATTAACGTCGCTATCCGGATTCGTCGCTATGCTTGGGGGGGACCCATAGGAACGCATTAAACTCCGTTTAATGTGTTCCTATTGGGGAAAAACGCACCACTATGTGGGGAATCCTCCATCTGGCCGCCATTTTCGCTGCCCGTTAAGCGAGGGCAGGGCGCAAAAACGCTTGCGGGCGGCCATTTTGGACCCGGCAATCAGCTGTTTGTAAAAAATCGCAATGCGAAACGCTTACCGATCATCGCAATGCGATGTTTTCCCTATCTAAAACATCGCAATGCAATCGCATTAGTGATCGCAAAAAACACGTCGCTATGCGGATTCGTCGTTAAACGGTGCGCTCGTTAAGCGAGGCACCACTGTATGTCCATCCAGACGAAGTATCTTATGAGTGGAGTGGCCAGCACCAGTCCAACAGGATTCAGTAGGGCCCCTGTATCCATGGGATCAGAATCTGTGGTTCTACTTATCTGCGGTCTGAAAATATTAAAAGGAAAAAACTAGAAATGTGTTTTCATAATGTATTTACCAGAATGGACTCCCTCTAGTGCCCCATTCTAGTAATACACAGTATAAAAACGTATTTCTGGATTGTTTTCCTTTATCATGCTATGTATAGCATTCACTACTATCCACGGTTTTCAGCATTCGCAAGGGGCGGGTTTGGAACCAATTCCCTGTGGATACAGGGGACCTACTCTACTTCTTTGCACTGAAGTGTTCCTGAAGGAACCTCTAGGAATTCTTCGGCTTCTTTGAAAACCCTTTGGACCGTCCTACAGACATCCCTGGATGGACACCCTTTTAACCAGGGCTCACCCCCATTGTGGTTGATGTTGTTGGACTCCACCAGAGCCACGCTGATGGGTCTCCGTGAAGTCCGGAGTTCATCCTCGCTCTCCAAGTCGTTCTCCCAGTTGGCCACTTCTCCCTCATCGTTGAAATTCCCATTGCCCCCTTGGTTGGCGAGGTAGTCGTTGGCATCGTCCTTGCGACAAAACACGGCAATCCCATAGATGCTGTTGTGCCCGATTTGGTTATTGGTGATATGAGGGAGGCTGGATGACATGACCCAGACTCCACAGCCCTTGTTACCTAGAGCAAGAGAAGAAAGACATGGACTTTCGACAACGTTCTTGACTTAACTGGCTCTATTTTCCATCATTCGTGTTTTTTTTTAAAAGCATTCAAAATTGTTTATCCTTTTGTTTACTTCATATTTGTAAACTGCCTTAAATACCATTCTTGGAGAAAAGCAGGATATCACTTAAATGCACTTATTGGTGGCATCAACTAGAGAGTAGAATTCCAAAATGAAAAGCCAGCAGTTTAGTCCATGGGTCTACTCTAGCTGAGACCAACAATAGGATGCAGTTCATAAAAAAATGATAAGCCTACATTCAAATAAACATTTAATCAAGTCCCTGATCTGGATAGTAACTCTGCACCTCTGGACAGTCATACTATTTTGTTTCGGAATTCCCAACCACCTCCAGACATGGGAGTTTAAAAGGAAAGAAATCTTTACTGGCATTGATTAAAGCATTTCTTTTCTTTTCTTTCTTTCTTTCATGTAATGAAGGGACTTTGAAAAATAAATGAAAGGAAGTAACCCTAAACTGCACACTATACTGATAATGTAAGCATTTTTTTGTATCCTTTTAATTGTTGTGAGCTGCCTTGGGTCTCCTAGGGGGAGAAAAGCATATCAATAAAAATAAAATAATTTCACTTTGGTGTTCAAACTTCAAAACCAATTCAGACTTTCAAAGCCAATGAAACGGAAAATATATAGTCCACCCTCAGCCCAAAAATCTGATGAAGCCTGATGAGCCCTTTTGGGCACAAATACCAGAAAACCAGACGTATGCCTTTTTCTGGTTAAGAGAGCAGGGTTTTCTGACTACTCTTTGACTTCAACTACAATTCCTTCCTCCAACAGCATGAAACAAAGGCCAAGGTGAAAGACACTCATTCCGCAATCTGGATTTAAGCAAGGGAACCTGTGGCTCCAGCACTGTCTTGCAGGTAAAGCTATACTTCAGTACCCTGTTTCCCCGAAAATAAGACCTAACCTGAAAAATAAGCCCTACTATGATTTTTCAGGATGCTCATAAGCCCTACCCCCAAAATAAGCCCCAGTTAAGTGAAACCCCACCCTCCACCCTTGTGCAGCAACCAGAAGATTGACATGACTGTATTTGAATAAATGTAGATTGTCATACATGGAAAAATAATAATAAAACATCCCTTGAAAACAAGCCCTATTGCATTTTTGGAGCAAAAATTAATATAAGACCCTGTCTTATTTTCAGGGAAACACGGTGGATGGTTTCACTGGATGGTGAATCCACAGAGATCTTTCAACAATCCACCAAGTTTACTTTCCAACACAGATTCTATAATTCCAATGGTGGGGGGAAAAAACCATTATCAGGTACCTGCCTATCTGAATTAATTTCCACTGAGGGGGGTTCCTCCTCATTTAACTTCATCAAACTCAATATTTAACCAGTGTATAGATATAGTGTACACCCAATATCTTGTTGAAAACCAATAAGCCCAATCAGGAAAAAGGAAAATGTGCCATCATAAACATATTTTCTCTGCTGTGAGCAAATGATGTAATTAACACTGTCATGTTACTTTCTGTTCTGAGCCAAGGGTATTTCGGGTCCTGGGGACAGAAAAAACAGAGCTCATCACAATCCAGGCCCACAGCCAAATAGCTAAGAAATGCGTCGTTCTAAACTCCATCCTAAGCTATGCTTACTTGAAAGATTCAGGTCTTCACACGTTATTGGTTTTTTTTCTTTTCTGTAAAAGTCCATCTGTAAGTTATCACTTTGGATTTCATACTTGCATGCCGGTATGTTTTCTCTGCTGCCGTAATAAATAGCCTTTCCTACACCTCCCACCTCCCAGGTTATTTCTCTAAGGAAGTGATTCCCAACCGAAGGTACGTGTACCCCCAGGGGTATAAACCAGAATATTTAGGAGAATTCGGGGGGAGGGGAGAAAAATGGCTGAACAAGACACATACATCAACAGTGTTAGTCACTTATTTATACCCCAAGCAGCGAGAAAGCCCTCCGCTTCTTCCTTCTCTCCCCACCCATTGTGTGAGAGCCCCAAGCAACTGGCTTTTGCTCCAAAGGGACATCCGTTCTTCTTCTTCCCCTAACTCGGGGTCTTGTGCTCCCTGCACCTTTCCTACTGATGGCAGTCTGTACATGACAAAATTCATTATGAATTTTAAACCCTTCACTGGCGTGCTTGTACATACTACCAGAAGTGATGAGGAAGTAGCCTGAAAACTAAAAGGCGGAGAGTCTCTCCTCCCCCACCCCCCGGCTGCACACCCTAACGTGAAGGGTAGAATTTATGGAAATGGGCTGCCACCGGGTACGCAAGTGAACAAAGGTTGGGAGCCACTCCTCAAAGGTAAAAGTTCTTAACAATGGCATGGGGGAAATGATCAGCTATTTGGAACCCAAGCTGTTTGGCACAATGATCAGAGTGAGTAAAAAATAAATAATAGTAGAGAGATACTATAGTTTGACTCCAGCGTCCAGACAGTAATCCTAGCTTGAGTAGTCCCATCTAACCAATGAGATGTACATAAAAGACAGCTCATCATTAAGCAAATGATTCAATAGGTCTACTTTTGTTGGGGCTGTGAGTGCCTCTGGACTGTCCTCAGGTGGCGCTGGTGGCAGCTAAGTCTCCCGGCAGTAACTTCATGGGCTCCAGGTTATGAGAGTGACCAAGAACAAATTTTATTGCAACCAACGAATCAACAGAAAGAAGAACATCATCCTTTACTCCCTTTGGGAGTTTTCTGAGGGGCTGGATTTCCAGAATTAATGCCCCCCAAGGAATTTCCTTTCAAGAGGGTTCCTTGTTAAAGCCACCGGTTTTACTCTACTCTAGTCCAAGCGCTCGTAATCTTGAGATTATACCATTGTAATGCACTCTACGTGGGGCTGCCTTTGAGGTTGATGCGGAAACTTCAGGTGGTCCAGAATGCGGCAGCCAGGCTCCTTATTGGGGTGAGAAAATATCAGCATATCTCCCCCACTCTGGCTGCCTTGCACTGGTTGCCCATCCGTTTCTGCATTTTCAAAGTGTTAATGATTACATATAAAGCCCTAAATGGTTTTGGACCTCAATATTTGGCAATTGTCTTCTTCCACCTAGATCTACCCAAATCACCCGACATAGCCAGCAGGGACGGCTGAGGGGCCTTACGCCGAGGGAGGCCCGGAAGGAAAAAAACAAGAAACTGGGCCTTCTCGGCAGTGGCCCCTCAGCTGTGGAACACTCTGCCTACCGAAATTCGGTTGGCACCCTCGCTGGGGGTTTTTAAAAGCCAGTTAAAAACTTGGCTGTTCAAGCAGGCCTTCCCTCCAGTCAATTAAGTGATTTCTATATATATATTCTTTCTTTTTCTCTCTCTCCTTTTCTAGCCATGCCATCTTGGTAATATCTCGTTTGGAATTTAATTGTTATAATTGTATTTTTTGTGATTTTATATTGATGTGTTTTTATTGATGTAAGCCACCCTGAGTAGACATAGTCTAGAGGGGCGGGGTAAAAATCTAATAAATAAATGGGGGGCTCTGAGAGGCTTGATATCTCTGAAAGGAGGAGGAGTCCCGGCCCTGGACAAAGTCCTCTCAAGGACAGCCAGTACAGTCAGGAGGGAGTTACTAGCTCCTCTTCCCAGGCACTCCTCATCTTCAATGAGGCACAGAACTGTGGGTCCCAAGGCTTGAGGGTTTCTCCCCAAGCTGACTCCAACTCTGAAGTCTCTCTGTGCAAACCGTTTCCCTGAAGGAAGCCCCTGAGCCCTCCTGGTCTTCCTCTTTTATCTCAGCCTCCCACTCTCAGACAGCCCTCGTCAGCCAAGCTCGCTTGCAGGCCCCTGTGTTGTCCTTCCCCCTTGCCTACGAGGGGCTTTGGGAGCTATGGCCTCAGACAGACAGCCCAGGACACCAACGGGGACCCCTTCCCAGGCAACAACTGAATTTAGGCTAAATCCAGCAAGAGTGGTGGTGAAAACGAGTGCTGTTTCTTCCCCCCTGCAAACTGACCCTCTTTGTAGCAAGTCCATAGACGTTCTGTCATTGACGAGACAAAATGGGCAGGAGAATTTGAAACCTATTTCCAGTTCTACCTGACGATGCTTCTGGTGTCTTGCTGCAAGGAGAGGAAACGGGGAGTTTCTTAGCATCCTGGCTGCTCCTTGCATGCATCCCTGCCCCCCCCCACCAGCTTAAGCAAGAAGTTACACATGATTTAAGCAGAAGGGTATTATAATGTTGGAAAAGGTACAGAAAAAGGAAACCAAAATGGTTTAGGGCAGTGGTTCCCAAATTTAGGGCCATAGATGAACTTGAACTCCCTGAAGCTGTGACCATGAGTTGGACTACTTCTGGGAGTTGTAGTCCAAATCTGGGGCCTCAAATTGAGCAACCATGAATTAGAGGCGAGATCAGTTCTCCTACAAGAAAAGAGGACAATATATAGGGTCGATTACTTATAGCAAAGGGAATGAGAACATAGGTGTGACAGAGGTGTATAAAATTAGGTACAATGTGAAGAAAGTCAAAAAGGAGAAGGTTTTTCCTCTGTGTCCCTAGTACAAGACAGGTCAAAAGAACTACAGTACTTCTTCACTCTGCCACAATAATATAGTGCCAATGGCAGCCAACATGGAGTGCTTGAAAGGAGAATTGTATAAATTCATGGAGATTAGAGTCATGAACAGCTATTCGTAAGGATGGTGACCTACCTCCTCCAGCAAAAGAGGCCGTATTCTCTGCACATCAGTTGCTGGGGAACATGCAACAAAGGGTGCAATTGTACTCATACCTTGCTGGCAGGCTGCGCACAAGCAGCTTCCTGGTCACTATGTGAACAGAGTCTTAGACCTTTGGTTTAACTCAACACAGATCTTCTTATCTCATTCGCTAGCAAATGCTACAAGGACTACCAATGACACGGACTACTGGAAAATGCCAAGGGGAGACCCTGCAAGGCAGAGCTGACATTAAAATATGGTTTCAGTCATAGTTTGTAGAATGTAATGAAGGGGCTCAAAGGGGCTTCTTGAAATTCCTTTTACTTGTGATGTGAAAGCTTGTCAGTTTCAATGTGAGCCTATTCCACATATGGAAGGGGGAACTCCGTAAGATACTTGCTAGGGCTGAATTTTTCAGAACCACAAGCTGGATGTGCAAACCATGACACAGGTATAGGAGGGGTGGGGGAACCCAAGATTTGTACACAGGAGGGTGGATAGCAGAGGGGAATATACTGTATGCATCCACAGTAGTTGATCAGAAATGTGGTGGGGTGGAAGAGCAAAAAACTCCATAGAAATGAAGGCACATATTCTACACATATTCTTTACCAATTGTTGGCAAAATAAAACACAAGCCATACCATGAACAATGGAAGAATGGAAGAATGTAAATGACAATATGCTCTACACTCTGCAGTGTTATGAGACAGCTTGCAATGGTCAAGGTAGCTGTGTTGGCACAAAGCACATTAAAAAAAATCTATACTGAAGTGGTATCCCTATTCAACAATTTTTTAAAAAAGGTATAAAACATGTAAAAGCTTTTGAGATGATAATTTGGTAGACAAAACATTACAAAGAAAGTTGGGGGAGGAGAAAGGGAAAGGTTTTTTAACCTGTATGACAATTTGAAATGTTAAGGAGGAGGTAGGAGGCAGATAAAGGTAAGGATGTAATCAGACTTCATTCCAGGCAGTGCACAGATCTACTGACAGCTGTAAAACTGGAAACCTTTGCTTTTCTCTCTTAAATGATATACCCGTAAGTCCTCACAACAATTTCAAAGTTGTATTCATATTGCTTCCACAGAGGATTTTTTTTGGTGGTGGCAAACAGAGACATACCAGTTCTATTATGTATTTATACTATTTAATATATTCCATGAAACATCTTTTTTTTTAGCCCAATATCCTGGAAAAGAACCAAAATCCTTGCAAGGCAGACTCTACAACCACTTAAAATAGTGATGCATACCTGCTAATCTAGAAAATGTAGTTGTTGTTTTTTTTTAAAAGCAGTCCTGTTCACTTTGAAACCAGAATCCAGATGAGTACATAAAATCTGCACTGCTATGCTTCACAAGATAGAAAGTTACTTTTTGGGACTACACCTCCCAAAATTCCACAGTCAGCATGACAAGTGACCGTGCTCACAATGGGATTCAGCAGGGAGAGGGGCACACTGTCACCTGAAAAACCAGCTTTTCTCCTCTAAGACAAAAAGAAAGAATCCAGCTATCCACCCGGGTTTACCGTAAATTGTGTTTCCTTCTATGAGTCCTTTCCCACGCTCTCCAACAACCACGCCATCGGAATACCCACAACAGATGAGGTTACTTCTGAGAACTGGATCACCCCCACGACGGATATCAGCACCCCCCCACTGGTTTTCTCGGATGACGTTTTCTAAAGGAGGATGAAGAAAGGAAAGTTAGCCAGGGAATCCAACTAAATGGTGATGTTGAAGATGCATTAACATGTTCAGTGCACAGAAGATTAAAACAGTATTTCTGATCAAACATACGTATTGCCAAGAGCACAAAGAAAGTAAACTCAAAATGGATTCTTGGATGCTCCTGTTTAGAGCTAGAGCAGCATAAACTCGGATGTTGAGGGACCAAATCATAATTCATAAGCTGCCCTTACACAAGACATTACTTTCCAATTTTATTTTCCCTTCTTGAAGATGGGCATTCCAACACTGACCTACACTGGAGAGATCAAGGGGTGACTACAATGCAATCCACCTCAGGCTTTGTTCTGGAATTGGCATGGTTAAATATGCTACATTTTCTGACAACTACATGATGTAGGGCTAAATACAAGTAAACCTGTCCTTTTTTTCTGGTAGGAATTTGTTGCTTTTTCTCTAGCCGGCAACACAAATGTTTGCCAGCACAGCGGGAACATTTCTCTCTTCCACACAATTTTATTTGCAATTAAGTTTGCGAAATGTAATACTACATCAGATGGGCACTGCATTTTCAGAAGCTGTTATATCAATTCAGCGCTATGCCACTTGCCAAATTTTGTTTCTCATATGAGGCAGGGAAGAGGGTGGTATTAATGACAGAGGAGGGTGGGTGGCCTTTTGTCCCATTGAGAACTCGAGCAATTTGAAGTCCACTTTGGACTTTTGCTCTAAAAAATGTCTGGTATAATTAAATGTTCCATGTGAAGTACAGCACTAACTTAATTGCCATAGCAAATGTTGACTCTATCCAAATCAACTTGAGACAGCCTTCCTGTCTAGTTGCACCCCTAATTATGTGAAACTGGAAGCATTTTGAACACTTACAAAAAATGAGAGTATAAAAACATCACATTATTTTCATTTTGGAGGAGCAGGGAGGAAAAACAATAAAGTGGCATAAAGAAAAACACCCACAATTCAATGCCCTGAAGTCTTTTATCATTAGCCCATTGCACATATCCCTTTCTCTGTCCCTACCTGTTATTTGGCCTCTTCCATTCTCATTCACAGCTATACCAGCAGCAAGACCCTGGAAGATATGGTTTCCACTGGAGCAGAAAGAAAGAGGTTTGTTCATTGTTCACAACAGTAGCCCAGTCCTATAAAGGGATCTAGTTGCTACTGCAGATGTACAGCAGAGAGGAATCGTGCTTCAACATATGACAAACCATACCCTGCCCTTCTCTTTCCCATTTCTTTTCAGGAAGTCCCATTGCCTTTTTACTACTATCATTCCTTGTGGCAGAAAAGGAACAGGCCTTTTTTCTAGCACCAGACCTATCATAAGAGATTCTGAGATGCCTTCCTCATACACTAAAATGTGGCAGTAAACCAATATATCCATTAATTCCATAACTGGAGTTCGGTGTGATTTAGGGCAAGAATTCAAAACCTAGTTTAAACTAAATTCAAAACCTTGTTTAACTGTAACACCTATGGGGTATCATGAAAGCTGAATGAACACCTGATAAACCTCATAATCCTTTGCAAGACTCAGATGTTCCCTAGTTTCTCATTTTCAGGAGTTCAGGAATGGACAAGACAGGCAAAAAGCACCAGCTATGGTTAATTTGATAGCCACCGTTGTATTCAACGTGCTTTCCTGATCAACCATAATTTTTTTTTTTAAATGGCAGCAGCACATCATGAGAACAATGCGTTCTGTGTCAAGAAGATAAAACAGCATGACAGAATGACAGTGAAATAAGACACTTCAGAAGATAAGAGGAGGTTTGGAAGACATTAGTCTAACATTTAATGATGAGTGAGTGTGTACTGTTTGTTTCAGACAGGCAGAAATATGACCTTGACACTGCCCCAGAATTCTTGATGCAAAACCATAATAACAGCGCTGGTGGTAGGAATAAGTGACCAACAGATCATGTTAATTAGCTGCCCTTCAACTGAACCTTACATCTGCTGCCTCATGTAGCTACTCCATGTGGGGAGCAACCCTGCAAATTCAGACCCCACACCATTAATACGTCAGCAAAGGAATGAAAAATCAAGGCGGAAAAATCTGCTAATGTGAACATTCAATTACTGAGATCCAAGGAATACAGAATTTTCCTTGGAAATGTTCCTTCTCACTCATTGACCCCTCACTATACACTGTACTTGTGAGATGGAGAGAAACTGGTTCAGGTAAACCTATCACTTCTCCAAGGAGTCATTGGAACAGTTTGCTTCTCTCTTCCTCTGAAGCCTGACTTACTTCACAGCCGTTGTTGTGAAGATATAATGGAGGAGGGAAGAGGAAGAACTGGATGCTTCAGAGCTATTCCAATCTGCATGCCCTCAGTCCAATACACCGATTCTTATCAGATACACTAATCTAGCTCTCCGGCTAGCACCTTCCAGATATCCTCAACAACAGCTCCCAACACTTCTCATTAATATAATTTATCAGAAGCAGTGGGGACTCTAAAAGAGCAGGATCTGAGGAGATCCCTCACGTCAATTCTTGAATTCTATCTTTTCTGGGTTTTTTTATTCCCCATCTTGATCACACTATATTAATGTTAAAATGTTTTTTTTATTATGAATGTTGTTTATTTGATTGTGCGTTTTAAATAAATAAATAAATCTTTAGAGCAGAAAGGGTTTGTTAGCATAGCAAGTGGCATTGAATAGCAACTAAGTTAATGCGGGTTCACCCTCTGAAAACCTGAATACTCAGCACGCCTTCTTTTTTCACATCTACGTTTTGTAAGTTAATGCGGGTTCACCCTCTGAAAACTTGAATACTCAGCACGCCTCCTTTTTTCACATCTACGTTTTGTATTCTAAGAGAATAAGAAAGCTAGTGTTTACTAAATTAAACAGGAAAGATAACAGGAATCCTGGTTCTAGGCAGCTATGACAGAGGCACAGAAAGCCTTGGCATCAACTGAATCTTAAATTCCTGGGAATAGTGACATCTCTTCCTTCCTCTCCCAAAGAGGGTCAAGAGAGAAATGTGAAAAGGAAAATAATGGAAAATGGTAACCATAAGAATATCAGCGTAGCTTAGAGGAAAGTCAGTGCTGGTCAGAGCAGATACAAGATGGTCTAGGAAATTGGAGAAGGCCCTTCTCTATCTACTCCTCACCATTCAACGACATATATCTTCCTCAGTGTAAGCTGAGCTACACCCAATTGCCTCCAAAAGCATCAATGGGGAGCTTTTGGTGAACTTCTGGGCTTCCATGGGTCAGACTAAACCTAACAAACTGAAACATCGTCTCCTGTCAGGTCGGAGAAAACTGATCTAATCTTGGCCACTTCCCCATTTTAGCAGAGCATGGAAAACCTTGTGTTGCTACAATTCCCAAAATCTCCAGCCAGTCTAGCCAATAGAGAGACTGGCTTGGGGAATTCTGCGCGCTTTTATGTGTCAAAATAGTTTCTTTTTGCTCAGCAAGAAACTCTGTTCATCGCCCTGTGTAGGAGTTTAAGAACAAACACACAAAGTGTGTTACGAATGTGCAAGGAGGCCCTGTTCAAACTTGGACACCTGTAGGTTTAATGTGGGCGAGCAACGCTTCCACTAATTCACAGGGCATGTTTGTCATCAGAGGAGTGTTCGGGCTCCATTCAAGCTCAAGGAAAGATGATCGCCAATCTTCCTGACAAAATTCCCCGACCACTGTAGACAGGCATTAAGTACAGAACAGCTCATTCCAGCATAATGGCTCAGAGCTGACGAGTGAGCGACGGATTTCACTAATCTACAAACTGCGAGGGTCAAGATGAGGGCTCTTTTCAGAAGCGGATGGGGAAATAGACCTGTCAGCTTTGTAAGCAATTTCTAAATAAGCAGTCATCTCGGGTAGTGATTACAATGCCACTAGTAAGTCTAGAGGAAATGTGCATAAAAGAAGAAGCAGCTCGGCGGAGAGACTAAATTTTCAATTCCTCAGTGCAGTGTCAAGAGCAGCCCCCATCAAATGTGCCCACACAAGCCTCTTATTATCAAAATCAGTCTGTCATTCTTGAAAGAAAACAAGCGGCCACAGCCATACTCAGCTCGCCTAGCATTTTGTGAGGGCTGAAGAGATTCGTTATGCCAAAGGAGATATTGTTACTGTATTAATTACTCCCAAGCAGCCTGCATCTATTTAAAAATAATAATTCACTCTTGAGATGCAGGGCCGGATCAGCATGCTTGTTGCCCTGGCATCCTGAAGGGGGAAATTCTCAGAAACCTAAGATGGCGGCCTCTGGGGGTTTTCTTTAGATCATGCCATAAGATGGGTTTTTAAACTAGAGCTTAGAAAAGTTACTGTTTTAGAATAGAGCTCTCAAACATCTCCAGCAAGCAGGGCCACTGCCACAGGCCATGCTGTCTGGGCGATTCTGGGAAATACATTTTTTTAAAAAAATAAACAATTCCAAGCTCTTTCTTTTCTTTCTTTAACAAATGCAAAGGAACTTGATATCCCAAAGTCTCCTTCTGCACCGGGTCCCACAGTGAATGAGTTATGCCTTCTCGCTCCCACTCTGTGGCTCTACAGTACAAAGAAATCCAAATACAGCTGCTTTGGCAAACTGCTGTAGCAAGAGGTAGAGGCTAAGCCACCACAATAAACAGCACCTCCTGAGAGCACTCCCTTCCCTTCAAAATGAGCAAGAAGATACAGGATCAATTCTTGTTTTACCTAATACAGGGAGCCTGAGGTGATGTAGTGGTTAGACTGCTGTGCTATGACACAGAAGAGACCGAGGTTCAAATCCCCACTTGGCCATGAAACTCAGGGGATGACCTTACATCACCCTATCTCAGCCTGAGCTACCTCACAGGGTTGTCATGAGGAGAACAAAGAAAGAAAAAGAGACGTGAACACTACCTTAAGCTTGCTGGACAGCTATAAAACAAAGAAAGAAACATCCCCAATACAGTGGGGTTTTTTTTCAGAGTTGCTCTGCTTTCAGGGAAGGACATCTTTCCCACGTTTACATGTCTGCCAAGGAACCTATTCTTATCAGAAAAGCTTCAGAGTATATTCTGAGCCAGTTGCCCCCTCTCATCGGCCATCCAGGTTGGGGGACTATGGGTCTTACAATCCTGGAGGGTGCTAGGTGAGAGAACACTGGCCTGGAATATCTATAACAAGCCATGCTTTGTTGGGCCTTGTCTGAGCTAGAATTTCATTCAGGGCCTGCATACTGGACAGGAAAATCAACAGCGAAGGAGGAGACGGCCTTTCTAGAAAGCTCAGCTGCTATTTGGGAGCCTTGCTCTCCCTCAAACCATCTGGGTCTGCTTTTCTCCAGAGCTTAAAAGTTCCTCAGTAGGTAATAGGGAATCTACTCCCTCAGTGCCTACCACAAAGATATGGATAAATAAAGCCCATGTTCCTCTTGCAGGACACTTTCTTTAAAAATGAATTTCATTCTCCAGAGCTTAAAAGTTCCTCAGTAGGGAATTTCGACTCTTCACCTGATGTGTGTACATCTGTGTACGTGTACACGTGTGCACTCCCTATCCACAGAGACAAGGAATACCGTTGCTCCATCACCTACCTGACCAAAGGGTTGCCATTGTGCAGAATGTAAATGCCCGCTTCCTTATTTCCATAGATTTGATTGCTACGCATGATGCCTTTTCCGTTGCCAAGGACAACGATGCCAGAGCGAAGGCCACTGTGGATCCTATTACACTGCCATTTTATTTATGCGCCAGCAAAAAGAAATAAAAGGAGAAAACAAGAGGGGGAAAGAGAGGGGGAATGATTAGTCATACTAAGTCAAAGACTTAATGAAGTAGCAGAAAGGTCAGCGAGGGCCTGGATGGATCAAGGGGGGGGAGGCAATTTATTGGAGAAAGGAACATCTAATTTTGAGTCTCTGTGGAGAAAGCCTGGCATATCTGGTGCCCAACACACACCCCTTTACAGTAGCCATTGCATAAAAGACTAAAGAAGAGTCCCATTGTGCCTTGCCCATTGCTCCTCAGCCATTTTGTTTAGATAAAATTCTCCAGCAATTCCCAAACTGGGTTGCTTTCCAGCCCTGCCATTCCTCTCCCTTTCAATTACAGCTTTGTGGACAGACAGGAGCTAGTCGTCTCGTCTCGTCTCTGTGCTTTGGAAAGCTTTGCCTGCTCACTTCCGCAGATCAATGTGGTATTAAACCAAAGGTGTGGGCCAAGCCAGGTTACCCACCTCTCAATGAATTGACAGCCTTCTGTCTGGGGAAAAGATAGTAAAAATTGGGAAAAAGTGACCTTTTCTGGACTACCGTGCCACCTGGGGGACACTGAGAGTTATAATCCAAAACATAACTTCTCCTAACTCAGAGGAGCACAATGGGAGAGAAGCAGCAACATGACACTTACAAACCCTGGATGCAGGCTCTGTCCTTCACTGGTTTGGAGACTGTCACATTCAGCAAAATTAGAGGTTGACCTGCCAGGCTGTTTCTACCCCAACGTCACACATATACGTATGTGTCCAACTACATCATTATACAAAAACACAGGACCATGGAAAGCTGCCTTGCACTGAGACAGGCCATTGGTCCATCGATCCCAGTACTGTCCAATCTGAGTGGCAGGGACTCTTCCACATTTCCAGCAGAATTCTTCCCTAGTCCTGTCTGGGATTCCTGATATTCCCTGGTGATCCCCCCGTGGCCATGCTTCTCCTTTGATACAGGAATAAAGCAGGTGTGTTCAGGCTGGTGAAGCAAATATTACAACATCATCCCGCGCCACACCACCTGGGAGGAACAAGCTCACCAGGGGTCTTGAACTAGTGAACGGAATGCTGGCCCACGAACATTCTGTCTCTCAGTCAATGTCCCGCTTTGCAGCCATGGGTCAAGGAGACACCCACAAGACATGGCAGAAAGCCCCTCCAGTATAAGCTTGGTACTGCTGGCATTTTAATGATTGGCTCTCTTTCCACTTCCAACCCCCACTTAAACAAAGGCTGCCCTCCAGCGGCAGGGCTTGGCCCTTTGACTTCTGTCGATCATGAGTGGGAGCCTCTTGCTACATATGATTCATACCCTACCGAGTACTAGGTAAACCTCCACAAGAGACCAGGCATGGCCCCACAGAGTGGTGGGGATGACCACAATGCTTACCTCCAGCGCAACTAGTAAGTTGGTTTTCAAAATGCCACAACAGCTACTTTGACAGTGTTTTGGCCCAGAGTCTTGCAATAGGAGAGCCTAACTGAGGACATGCATGCAAGGCAGAAGAAAATTCATTTTAAGTTAAAATAGGTAGCTAGATTAAGGCAAAAACTACCAAAGCAGCACGCATCGTGATTCCCAGCTTCATGTGCACAGCACAGCGCAAAGACAGGGGTGGCCTATACATGAGAAACATAAGAGTGAGAGGCTGTTAACTCTTTCCCTAGCTGTTGTTCCCCCTTTCTTGAAACGAAAAACGGCCACATCCAACCACAGTGCCAAGACACGTATCCCATATTTTCTACCTTGGAACCTAACTATTGCCTTCAAACCATTCTAGACGTGCAAAAAATTAATACCAAGACCAGAGGGTTGGCGCCTTTCCGGATGTCCACACTGGCTTCGCAATTGGAATGGATGTTGTTTTCTGCAATCAAGCCCCCTGCGCCCAGACGCAGAAATATCCCTGAGGTCTTGCAGTGGTGAATGTCATTCTTAAGCATGATGATCTGAAAGGGGGGGAGGGGGAAACCAAAACATTATTTGTGTGTTTTTGAAGATATTTACAGAAAAAGATGCAGGAAGAACTGCTGGGTAGCTCAGCAGTTTAGGTCACTGGCTGCCGAGCCTGAGGTTGGGAGTTCAATTCCCCACTGGACCTTTCTTGACCGGGGCTGGACTCGATGATCCAGAGGGTCCCTTCCATCTCTACAGTTTAAAGGTTATGATGATGGTGATGATGATGTCTTAACTAGAACAAATCCTTGCTCCATCCAGGATTTACAACAGAATACAACAGCAGCATCCCTGACAGATGACTGTCCAATCCCCGCGCACGTTCTGGTAACAAAATTCAACATATGTGGGTTTGAGCTGGTTGATTCAGGTGCCTCTGGTCCTAATTTCACCTGGGATCTTTAGGTAAGCCACCACTCTTTCAGCATCATCCCTACCAAGCAACCTTGTTAAGGCAGAGGGACTGAGGAAGGGGGCCTTCCCTGAAAGCTCTCAGAGCCCAAGTGGGCACGTATGGGATTGGGTGGATATTGGGACCATTCAAGCTACATGATCCATATGTTCAGATATACTGAGGGAGGACAACCTGTGGCCTTCCAGATCTTGCTGGACTGTGAGATCCATCACCCCTAGCCAAAGTTCCCAGTGGTGGAAGTTGATGGAGAGATGCAATCCTGCAATATCTGGAGAGCCACCACTGGACGATTCTCTGTGAGTGTTCTGGGCCCACAGTGGGCTTTAATCCACTTGAGGGCAAACCAGCTATTCTACTGAATGCAGAGAATACAGGCCCAACCCCTCTTGTGTATCATAAGCAAATCTGTACATTTCAGTCCATTCCTTGCTAGTAAATAAAGAGCCCCTACCCTGATTCTTGGGCAGGTGGGGAGGGCACCTGCATATTGGCTTGGTGTGTGAATGCATGCCGCCCCCCTTCATTTACTGGTGAGGAACAGACCGAAACATAGCAATTTTCTTATGTTATACAACAGGATTTCAGCCACTGTTTGGAAGTTACCGGTCTGCAGAGCAAGAGGACAGTGAAAACAAACACACGCCACCTCGAAGTGTAATCTACACAGGCTGGCAACACTGAATACTTTTAATCCTGACATTGTTTTATTTGAGCAAGTAAGTGGCTTCAATATTCATGCATATAATTCCTTCCCAGTCAAATAAACCTTTAAGCCAATGCTTGACAAGCGTAAAGGAACAAATCTACAAATTGCAATATTCCTCGCCTTAGTGAGCACTGTACATCAAAGACGATAATTAAATTACAACTTCAGTATTTGCTCATTTGAAAAGGTGACTCACTACTCCCCTCCCCATCAGTTAATTAACATGCAGAAAGAGAGGGAAAGAGGGCTGCATTCTTTTCCCCATTAGTCACTCACCATTGGTGCCGGCATGGAGGTCAAGCTCTGATCAGAATACTAAGCCTGACTATCCAGTATATTAACAGAAAACACTATCCTTATCCCAAAAACACTAATAGGCTGACACGGGTTTACAGCTTTCTAAATGCTGATTGAAATACTGAAATTGAAATTGTTAAAGATTTTGTATACTTTGGTTCAATCATCAATCCAAGCGGAGACTGCAGCCAAGAAATCAGAGGAAGATGGAGACTGGGAAGAGAAGCAATGAAGGAACTAGAAAAGACCATCAAGGGTAAGGATATGTCACTGGAGACCAAGATCATCTACACTGTTGCATTTCCAATCACCATGTATGGGTGTGAAAGCTGGACAGTGAAGAAAGCTTTGATTTGTCTGAAATGCGGTGCTGGAGGAGAGCTTTGCGGGTCCCCTGGACTGACAGAAAGACAAACAAGGGGATCCTAGATCAAATCAAGGCTGAACTATCTCTGGAGGCAAAAATGTTGAAACTGAGGCTGTCCTACTTTGGGCACCTCATGAGAAGACAGGATTCTCTGGAAAAGACAATAATGCTGGGAAAGGTCGAAGACAGCAGGAAAAGAGGAAGCCCAAATACGGGATAGACTGACTCCTTAAAAGAGCCCAAGGGCTTGCGTCTTAAAAAACTGAGCAGGGCAGTTGAGGACAGGTCATTTTGGAGAGTGCTCATTCACAGAGTCGGCATGACTCAAAGGCAACTTGGCAGTACATACCAACAACCAATGCTGGTTGTGATAGATCATTCTCAGCAGCTTAAAGAGGCTGGCTTTTCTGCTCTTTCCCTTGCATCTTTACAGCCCTGGACAGATCGTATGGTCACGGAGGTCGGAGGAGAGGAATTCTGTTTTAGTTTACAACTCCCTATCAGCAAAAACACACCCCTTCCACCCCCTGGTCATTGAGAAAGGTTTATGGGAGCTTTTAGCCTGAAACAACTAGCTCTGCCACATCCAATCTAGGCATGCAGGAAAAGCAACAGGGAGTGCCATCATTTTACAGAATTGGCCTGTCTAAAATTCGTTCTGGGAGAAAATTAGCAAGATGTAGCCTTTTAAAAGTGTTTTTAGTCTGTTTCAAATCATGCTTTGCGTCTTCTCTCTTTGTTTTTATATAGAAACTAGTTGGCTGTATTGTACATTGCACTGAGCAGAAAAGTTAATTTTTAAATAGTTTAAATAATATAAATCAACAGAGTCCACACAGGGGTTTTTTTACGTTGGTACAGAGATATTGCTGAGACTCAACCTTCCAGAAATGGAAAAAGGAAGTATCAGAGGCTTGTAAATCTTGTCTCAAAAATGACATAAACATCACAACCTCCAGCTCTTCTTCTCCAGCTCAAATTCCAACCTGAAACAGATCAAGGCTGAGCTCCAAATCAGTGAGACCTGAATCCACTCCTTACACGGATCCAGATCCCTTCCAGTTCACATCACCACCTTCTTCTTCTTCTTCTTCTTCTTCTTCTTCTTCTTCTTCTTC